CTTTTTGTTTTTATATCAACATTTGTCTTACCCATTCCAAATTTATATAACATTTCACTGTTTATTATTTTCATATATGATTTTTAGAATGTACCTCCCTGAGTTCCCTTTTCATTTCACTGTTTATTATTTTCATATATGATTTTTAGAATGTACCTCCCTGTGTTCCCTTTTGTAATAAACTGACACGAGTTCCCATGCGTTACTTGTGGTTGTAGTTCATTCCTCTCTCACAAACAACAGTTTACACAAACATATAGACTAAACAATGTAAATAATTAATGTAACAATTATGTAAATCAACTATTACAGCAATTATGTAAATAAGCTTTTATAACAATTATGTAAATAAACTTAAATAACAATTATGTAAATAAACTTAAATAACAATTATGTGAATTAACTATTATAAAAATTAGAAAACTTCCATCTACAATCAGAAAATATATGCTATTTTTTCATATTTTCTCTTACAATAAAATGGAGCACCCTCTCCAAAATTTTTAGCTGACAATAAGTTACGTTAGCATAAAATAATGAGAGTTACAGTAGAAAAAGGCATATTCATGATAATAATTGTAAGGTGACTGATGATATGATACTAGAAAGCTGGTGGTAGTGATGACTGTTGATATGATACTAGAGAGCTGGTTGTAGTGGTGACTGATGATACGATACTAGAGAGCTGGTTGTAGTGGTGACAGTTGATATGATACTAGAGAGCTGGTTGTAGTGGTGACTGTTGATATGATACTAGAGAGCTGGTTGTAGTGGTGACAGTTGATATGATACTAGAGAGCTGGTTGTAGTGGTGACAGTTGATATGATACTAGAGAGCTGGTGGTAGTGGTGACGGTTGATATGATACTAGAGAGCTGGTGGTAGTGGTGACTGTTGATATGATACTAGAGAGCTGGTTGTAGTGGTGACGGTTGATATGATACTAGAGAGCTGGTTGTAGTTGTGACTGTTGATATGATACTAGAGAGCTGGTTGTAGTGGTGACTGTTGATATGATATTAGAGAGCTGGTGGTAGTGGTGACTGTTGATATGATACTAGAGAGCTGGTGGTAGTGGTGACTGTTGATATGATACTAGAGAGCTGGTGGTAGTGGGGACTGTTGATATGATACTAGAGAGCTGGTTGTAGTGGTGACTGTTGATATGATACTAGAGAGCTGGTTGTAGTGGTGACAGTTGATATGATACTAGAGAGCTGGTTGTAGTGGTGACTGTTGATATGCTTTTAGAGAGCTGGTGGCAGTGGTGACTGTTGATATGATACTAGAGCTGGATGTAGTGGTGACTGTTGATATGATACTAGAGAGCTGGTGGTAGTGGTGACTGTTGATATGATACTAGAGAGCTGGATGTAGTGTTGATATGATACTAGAGAGCTGGTTGTAGTGTTGACTGATGATATGGTACTAGAGAGCTGGTGGTAATGGTGACTGGTGATATGATACTAAGATTTGTTGTAATGTTTATTGTAGACGTGCAGCACAGTGTTTTGTGCACGTAGACGTGACTCGATATGATACAAAGAGTACGCTCTGCCTGCAGTGGTTACAGTTGGTGTGATACAATCCCATCAAACTGTATATAATTACAGGTTCAAGTTAGGATGATCAAATTAGAATCGTCGTTTCTTTGTTTAAAGGCATTATGAAAGCCGGCAACTCCAAAGGGTATCCCGAGTGACAGTCCACAATCGGGACTTATCTGGAGTGTCTCTGCGTGCTTAAGATATCGTATCGCTGTTAACATTTGGTCGTCCTTTTGAAGCAATTCAAATTGTTAGTCTTTTGTCAATACACCTCGATAACCTCAACAGATATACTGAAGACGATCGAAAATTTCTCGAGTACTCAATTCCTCCTCGCTATCAGTATAAAATTCCGGATTCTCCGATAGGGGGCGTGTTGATATGTACTTGTCCTCTCTGGTTATTTTACCTACAAAACGTCAACTCAGTCATAATTCTACTGTTGTGTTTCTCTTTTCTTTTCATAAATATATTTGTTAATTTAATTTTAATCAAGTACATCTACGTAGCTGGCAATTGGCATACTGTCATAAGACGAGCTGAGGAGAGAAAATGCTGTATTAAGATATTGTTATCTAATAAAAGGGATGGAACGAGAGTCATGCAGCGAGTGAAACATACTGTAGGCGTGGCTTTATGATTGACAGCTGTGCACACCTGGTTATCCGGGATAAAGCAGGACAAATACTGGCGGAAATCGACTATTGATAATGTTAATCGTTTAAGACTTGGCTTTCCAAAACAAGTGTTCCTGTGCTATCTAATTCTAACAGTTTCTCGGTTTGTAAAGTTCGTGTTCGCAGTTCACTACAAAATGGCTCGTTTGCAATCCTTATCGTTATAATTGTTAAATGTAACTTTAGAACAGGATTTTCGATATCAAATGTTATTATACTAAAGTATGAGTCCCCAAGCTTTAACATAGTGTGTAGTATAATCATCACCCAGACGACTTAACGTTTTGTACAGTAAAAACTTCATAATTCCAATGACTACAATATATGTAGTACGAACTTCATCATCCTAATGTCTGTAATCTGTGTAGTACGAACTTCATCATCCTAATGTCTGTAATATGTGTAGTACGAACTTCAACATCCCAATGTCTATGAATTATGTGTAGTGCGAACTTCATCATCCCAATGTCTATGAATTATGTGTAGCACGAACTTCATCATCCCAATGCCTATGAATTATGTGTAGTACGAACTTCATCATCCCAATGTCTGTAATATGTGTAGTGCGAACTTCATCATATGTGTAGAACGAACTTCATCATCCTAATGTCTGTAATATGTGTAGTACGAACTTCATCATCCCAATGCCTATGAATTATGTGTAGTACGAACTTCATCATCCCAATGCCTATGAATTATGTGTAGTACGAACTTCATCATCCCAATGTCTATGAATTATGTGTAGCACGAACTTCATCATCCCAATGCCTATGAATTATGTGTAGTACGAACTTCATCATCCCAATGTCTGTAATATGTGTAGTACGAACTTCATCATCCCAATGCCTATGAATTATGTGTAGTACGAACTTCATCATCCCAATGTCTATGAATTATGTGTAGTACGAACTTCATCATCCTAATGTCTGTAATATGTGTAGTACGAACTTCATCATCCCAATGCCTATGAATTATGTGTAGTACGAACTTCATCATCCTAATGTCTGTAATATGTGTAGTACGAACTTCATCATCCTAATGTCTGTAATATGTGTAGTACGAACTTCATCATCCCAATGCCTATGAATTATGTGTAGTACGAACTTCATCATCCCAATGCCTATGAATTATGTGTAGTACGAACTTCATCATCCCAATGCCTATGAATTATGTGTAGTACGAACTTCATCATCCCAATGCCTATGAATTATGTGTAGCACGAACTTCATCATCCTAATGTCTGTAATATGTGTAGTGCGAACTTCATCCTAATGTCTGTAATATGTGTAGTACGAACTTCATCATCCCAATGTCTATGAATTATGTGTAGTACGAACTTCATCATCGCAATATCTTTACATTGTGTGTAATACGAACTTCATCGCCCAAATTAACACTGCACTAAATCATGGCAGTGTCTCCATGTTTGTGTCAGAGCTTTATCGTCCTATGATATTTGTTTACTAAACTTCATACATGTAATACCATTAATTAATTTTCATGCCCTTTCTAATGATCTTTGTTCGTCCGTACGAAGCATGACCCTGGCGGACGGACCAGGTTAACAGAACCAAACTTAGATTTGGCGGTCCCACGTCCATTACTTAGTATCTATTGGGACGGTGCCCCGTTCGTTGTTTTTTGTTTTTTTACAAGGATATCAAAGCCATTTCCGACGTTTGAGGAGAATAGTGTACATCTGCAGTAGGGTTCCCTGACAGGTGGACGACCCTTTAGTTGTGACCGTCCAATTACCGCCGATAAGGTCCTTGCGGGTCTTGGACGGAGCCCAGGGGATCTGAGGGACAGGCCCGATAACAAGCGAAATGTGACTTTAAGTACTGGCATCGAGTTCTGCAGGCTATCGGGGGCAGTGCTACAACATTAGCGCCTTCGGTCGCTAATGAGGCAACAAATTGGCTTCCAACAGGTGCTCCCTAACCGTACTGCTCCAGTCAACGACGCTGGTAATGGCAACATCCAGTTTTATCAATCGAAATATTGGTAAAATGTAGCAAGGTATAGGGGTGGCTTCTAACGAACATAACCAGCAACAGCGCAAAGCCTCTCATACCCAGTCCGCGTTTCCTAAACGGAGATACACATGTTCAATATGATTTGTTTCAGTGACTAAAAAGTCGTAATTAAATTTAAATTGCGCGAATGTTTGATATTTTAGACACCAGATCCAAACTGGAAACTTCCTTTTGCAAGTTTTATTGTATTTTGTAACTGGTAAGGCCGGGTACTGATTCGAATTCAATATTTAATCTTTGTTCTGATGGATTGGATTTATTGTAACAACATACAATATCCGCTCTATACCGGGCGGCTATCTTATTCCGGACAAATTCGGTGCAAAAGCAGATTATCTTACAACATTCGGGGTGCCAGGATTTATCAACTGCATCTGTGACCCCTGGGTATTTCTTATGTACATTGTTGTAACTCCGAGATCCGTGCGTGTTGCCACGGTAATCAGTGTAAATTCACCCGGGTGTCGGGGAAACTCCGTACACGTGAGAAACATTTCCTTGCCCAAGTGCTAATTACCTATTGGCTCTCTTAATGCTGAAGTTTTGTCAATGTACGATTGCTTTGCCAGCGCCTTGGTGATACAACATGGTTCCCATGACCAGGGGCTGCACGTTATTGGAGCATGCATGTGCGTCGACATGCACGTGGGAAAGTGGTCATATCTGACTAACTGTATCTGTACAATTAATAAACCTAATTAGCTGATATCTCCCTTTTAACAAAAAACAAAAGTCCAACAAACACAGAAAGCTTGTATTGATAGTTTAGAAAACACTGGACTACAATGTAACGTCCGCCAAGGTTTCACATTCCAAACGTCCGCCATCATTTTCATTCCTTTCCTTTAATGCATCATTATGGTAAAATAGTTATTTTTGAACCTTTAAATCACGTGTATAACTACTGTTATCTGTCAGAAGATTCTTACAGAAAACCGTGTTTTAAGTATTGTCAGGGACGTATTTTATCAACATTTTACGTCTATGATATCATTACCTATCGGACAGTTACAATATGAAACGTTTGTGTAAATAGAACTGCTTTTACGTATCTGAGATGACACTACTGAAAACTTTATTGTTAAGGAGAAGAGGGAGGCACCTTTTCCAGATGTTTAATATCAAACACATGCACTGCTAACCATAACTGGTGCATACCTCAAACAACCAATTAATTTTCTGGACAGTAACAGATAAATTCAATTCCAGTTCCAGAACATGGACATCGGCTAGATTAGTCAGTCAAAACATTCCACACAACACATACACTAGTACAACAGTTCTGGGTTCACACAAATACAGGTGGCTGTGAAAGTTTTGGGGAGTACTTCACAGTATTTCACTATATTCTTTATGTCACAAGTAATACATAATAATGATTTTTTTTTGTCTTGACATTTTGTAGAGATTGAAAAACATTCCTATATTACACTATATTTGGTCTTCCCTCCAATACGGAAAACAGAGGTCAGGTTTATGGCGAATTATTGTTACGTTATCAATTCATTTGTTATCAATTCATTTGCCACAGAAAACCAAGTGTTGAGATTTTTTTATATAGAATTTTCTACAATTATTCAATTAATTTTATGAAACAGGGACTGAAAGATTAATGTTATGTTCCACCAATACTACAGGTAACAGTGTAAAAAGTGTTATCAGCATCTTCAACTCATAAAACAACAAACCCACCTACAAAAAATAAAATGATTTCTTATAAGTGCCCATTCCAGTAAAGCATTATGGACATTTGGTGTTTACTAATAAATGGCCAGTGCCTTACTCAACAGTTCTTGTGTGTTTTAGTAACAAGAGACCTGTGACTGACTCAACAGTTCTTGTGTGTTTTAGTAACAAGAGACCTTTGCCATACTTAACAGTTCTTGGGTGTTTTAGTAACAAGAGACCTGTGCCTTTTTCAACAGTTTTAAGTCCCTCACCAAGTCTGGTAAACCATCCTTAATCTGCAGACTCCTTCAGTCATTGTTGAATTGCTCCAGCAATAATTTTGTGTAGCAATCATCACAAATTTAAGCAGTGTTATAACACAGGAATTGTCTACAGTAAACAGCTAAGTAACTCTACATTGTAAGGTACTATAGACTGAAGGACTGTACAACACCAAATTAATGCAGTTGATATACCAGGGACAGATCTGAAGGCCGCAAAACTTGTGGGTGAAATGTTATCAATATGGCTACCAAAATACAACATGTATGCCACAAGTGCGTTATTTAGTTTATATGGCATTACCATACCGGAACAGGTTTTAGGATTGTAAAGGGGCAACGTTGTTGACATAGCTACCAAAATAGAAAGAACTGATTATATGGGTGAACACAAATGTCATATGTTTTAATGAATATCTAATTCAATTACATCATTAAACCCTTTCAATTAAATATTGATTTGCATAAACTGTTCTCCATGCATTTTTTATGGTTAAATAACTGTCTATCTAGGATGACAGTTTCCCAGAGAAATTACCAAACATTGAATTGTTAAATAGGTAAACTTGGCGAAGTTTTCCATCCTTCTTTTTTTCTTAACTTTTGAGAGTAAGCCAAATAATTCTATTGGTATTAAAGAGAACTTGAAATGGTGGCGAATTGTAGTAACTTAGCAATTTTCCACACAAATAAATAATGAAAACATACAAACAAAATTCACACAACAATATCTCCAATCATAGACTAGCAAGTAAAATACTAACATTCCACCACCGAAAGTTATCTCCCTTGTCACTCTCCTACACCCCACTCCAAATACAGTCAGATATCTCCCTTGTCACAGTATCTCCCTCTCCTACGTCCCACTCCGAATACAGAAAGTTATCTCCCTTGTCACTGTATCTCCCTCTCCTACATCCCTCTCCAAATACAGCCAGATATCTCCCTTGTCCCTGTATCTCCCTCTCCTACACCCCACTCCAAATAGAGCCAGTTATCTCCCTTGTCACTGTATCTCCCTCCCCTACATCAACTACAGCTACAGCCAGATATCTCCCTTGTCACTGTATCTCCCTCTTCTACACCCCACTCCAAATACAGCCAGATATCTTCCTTGTCACTGTATCTCCCTCTCCTACACCCCACTCCGAATACAGTCAGATATCTCCCTTGTCCCTTTATCTCCCTCTCCTACACCCCACTCCAAATAAAGCCAGTTATCTCCCTTGTCACTGTATCTCCCTCCCCTACATCAACTACAGCTACAGTCAGATATCTCCCTTGTCACTGTATCTCTCTCTCCAACACCCCACTCCAAATACAGCCAGATATCTCCGTTGTCACTGTATCTCCCTCTCCTACACCCCACTCCAAATACAGCCAGATATCTCCCTTGTCACTTTTTCTCCCTCTCCTACACCCCACTCCAAATAAAGCCCGAGATCTCCCTGGTGCCTGTATCTCCCTCTCCTACACCCCGCTCCAAATACAGTCAGATATCTCCATTGTCACTGTATCTCCCTCTTCTACACCCCACTCCAAATACAGCTAGATATCTCCCTTGTCACTGTATCTCCCTCTTCTACACCCTACTCCAAATAGAGCCAGTTATCTCCCTTGTCACTGTATCTCCCTCCCCTACATCTACTACAGCTACAGCCAGATATCTCCCTAGTCTCTGTATGTCTATTTTCAGACATCCACTCCAGTTTCCATCACTATGAGGGCTGTTATTACTTAACTAATCACAGTTTACAATATTGCTGAAGAAAGCTGACATATATATAACATTTAATTCCAAAAGTCTTTATGGAAGGAAGCAACAGAAAAAACACTGAAAGTTGAAGTTTCCACACAAAGGTATCAGTGTAGTCTACGGTACAGACTGGAAGAGTGATGACAGGAAACCATCAGGGTCTGCTACGTCCTCTAATAAACCTACAAAATAGTAGTCCAATGTTAACATGCATGGCTCTGATGTCACAGAATATTTAAAATGTCGCAGTATTTAATATCTCTGACGGATCGATAAAATGTGATACTAAAAGTTCTGATGTATCAAATAATGTCTTTAAAAAGTAATTGTTCTAGTAAGAATTTTTACCAGATCAAGCAGAGTTTGATATTTATAGAAGGCTTGATATGCAGGTCAGAGATTATTGTAACACCCCTTGTTCCCACAAGATATTAAAAGGATATAACAAATGGGGCTCTTTAGGAAATCAAAATGGAATTGTAAATATCTAACTTAATTTATAGTAATCACCACATATACTATGTATCAAAGAAATTGCTGACTGAAAGAAGAAAAAAGGTTTTTGAGAAAGAAAATTAATATACAAAAAATTAACAAGCATAATGAAAAAGAAGTTCTATTCCCACAAAATCATCTAAATCAGAAATTTACAAACAAACAAACACATGACTACTGTAATCAAGGGCTGATCTTATCAACCACGAATCAAAAAATAGTCTACAGTCAGAGGACATTCACAGTTCCAATATACCTCACCCTGACTTCATTACAGGGAACATAAAAACATGAAACAGTCAAAACGTAACAAATTTGTCTCACCAATAACATCCATGAACTCTGCCAAGGATTCACACGGAAGCATCTCCTCCTCGTACGCGGACATTACACGATCACACGACTCCACCAACACACGGTCATTGTTTCTGATGTAGTCTGCGGCCAGGTTACTCCACACACCATCTGGGGTAACAGTCACTTTCTGCAATACAAGAAAACCACTACTTTAAAGGGGAATCACAACTATAATATTAAGTAGAACCACACAAGACAAGTGGGTGGGGATGGGTGGAGGTGGGGGGTGTTGGGTGGGAATATTCAGAAACTAGCACAGAATCAACAGTCAATTTTTTTTTTGTAAAATGAGACATACAAACTGACAAGGGCAGACAACCAATCTTGTCTAGTAGCAGGAGACATGGAAAGTGACAAAGAAGATGAGGAATTTAATATAAATGTGTATATATTTAAAAAAAAATTTTTTTTGATTTGGAAATAACCAATACCAGAAAACAATGACAAAGGGAAAAGTCTAAATTGTACATTAACTGATACTGAACATGTTTAATTTACACATTACATGATATGTATGTTAGGATAGATTTTGATCATTTTACAACTTGTATATCTTGGAGCCCTTCTATTATATACAGGCAATAATATCACCTCCAACACCTTCACAATATATCTGTTGTATTTCAAGACCTGCATAAACCTACAGCTGTAAGGTGTTAACTGTGTTCAAGTCAACAGCAGTAAATCACAGAACTTAATAATTAAGAAACATGCTAAATATTCTTTTTCAAATGATGGGAATTAAAAAAAAAAACCAAAGTAATACCTAGAGTCGTATATTTATATCTGACTGTACATTCAAAAGATTGTCAATGATAATTAACAATAGAATCCAATAAAAACAAGTTAATATATTTAAATGTATTCAACATCTAGAAACAAGAATGACTCCAACCATAGCTTTGTCATTGTGGGTACAAGACCGCACACACCTTATTATGTAATAATGTATATGTACTGTGATCAAAATTCCTCCGATATGTTTGTTAAAGTTAGATACAAGATTTCTGACGAAGGCCAAACCCCAGACTGCACATCTCCAAATACTTTAAAAATATACACTATTATACTGGCATTTATCTATTTGTATTGACAAATTCCACAATTCCTGCACTGGTCTACACTAAAATCTGCACAGGTAGACAGTCAGATCTGATCTTAAAGTACACATGTCACATTTATTCAGATATATTGGTCATTTTCACAATTCCTGCAATAAAGCGAAAACCCCTAAGAATGTGGAAAGAACATGATCTACTTAACAGAGATAGGGGCAGGTCCGTGATAAATTAGGGACCAGCAGGAAATGCTCAGTGCAATGACATCACATCCCCCAACACTGCGTGTATTAATCTCTGCCAGATACTCTGTACAAACACCTCTAAATCCTTTAGGTATCCCGCACCATTGACAACGCTGGCCCGCGGCTCGCCACCTATTCCAGGTCTCTATCCCCTTCATCTCTTGGTGTAAGTATTGTCATAAATATGCTATTTTTGTATCTAAGTATCATATATAACCGAGGCTTTACAAAGCTTACATCTTTCACAACAATGCAGTAATTTTTCATTTTACAATACAAAGTCTAAATTTTGACTTCATTCCTTTATAGGGTTTGAAAACTGAATTTCTGCTGGTGTCTGTTCTTTTTTTGAAGTAATTCCCTAAAAATTACATATTTTCGAGATAAGTCATGAAAATTATAGAATTTGTTTTAATCAAAAATTAAAAGAAACATCTGCAACAATTGAGCATAAATAGTTCTGAAGCATTAAGTAAAGCTATTTCCTATCTAGCCTCACCCATGTTAAACACCTGTGTATAGAGATAAGTACCGATAAATGGCCCTAGTTCCACTCACGCTACCGATAAATAGCTCTGGTCCCCCTCACCCAGGCTTAACTGCTGCTGACTTGGGGATTAGAGGATTAACGTCGTGTGAATCCCCCATTGTGCCCCGCTAATCCAAGATCTGGTTCAACAGGGAGCCAGGATAGAATAAAGCCATTCCACTCACATAAGGTCCCCCCTCTCCTCCATACCAGAATCCATGTACAATCTAAAGAAAATCCTGACTGTCTACCCTGGCCTCATAAACATTTGTTTATTTGTTCACCCAGAGTTTTGTTTCTTAATAGCATATTGTATCGTACATATCAGAATGGACACTAAATTTTCCCCAAAACTCTTCCCAAAATTGTGAAATCTCAATCAACTGAGAAATACAAAATCCAATCTCTAAGTAATGGTTATAAAGCCTACCAAATTTCAGAAAAATTAGTTAAAACTTTAAGGAGATCTCAAAACAAAATTAAAAAATTTGAAAAAAAAAAAACACAAAGACAATAACTCCTTAAACATTGTTGCATCAAACTGCTTTCTAGGAAAACACAACTTCATATCATGTTGATTAAGCTTACAAAGTTTGAAAGAAATTGGGCAAAAACTGAGAGATCATCTCTTTACAAGATTAACAATATGAAAACAACAACAAGGGGCATTATCTCCAATTAGAGTCAAATTAAACTGTTGTTCAAGGGAACACAATTTTCTGTCATAGTGATTAAACCTACCAAATTTCCAAAAGATCAGTTGAAAGCTGTTGTCAGAGATCTCCAGACAAATTAAAGTTTACAATGGACAGACAGAGAGACAGACTACGCCACATTATGTCCAGTCAAATTTTTTGACATGTACATGAAAATTAATTGACCACGACCATATCAGAATCTGGCTTGCATATCATTACTACATACCTATATACAGTTCTAAATCTGCATCCTATACAGAGTAAATGACACTCAAAGGTACCAATATTTGTCCCTAACCATGAAAAAGTGAGAACATTAAAATTCTAATTGATCAAGAAAATAAAATTACAGCTTGTAAGTAGTTAGAACAATTCTACTGTAGGAAATTGATCTTTGTACTTTGATCAATTTTTCATCTCATTTCTCTCACTTGACATATTTTCCCCTTGTACTTCAGAACACAATGTTTGCACTTCAGTAAATGAGTAAACAATACAACAGCCTGATTAATTTATCATCATATCAATTTTCGTCAGCATTGACTAAGTTGTAAGAAATATTCCGACATAACTCCACTTTTCAAAATGTACAATCACGTATTGACAGTTTTAATTGCACGTGACCTTACACTATTGACCCTTTTACGGAGTGCCAATTATGTAAACATGTCTCATGTTGTTTGAATACAATGCAACAATCAAAGGTTCTATGTGTCACAACTAAGGAATTTTGTGACATCTGAATGATTTCTTTGTAATAAAAAATTATCTGTAAATCCTCCTTTGGTCTGGGACGGGACTTTTGCCTTAAATACACATTTCCCCTGGCAGAGTCATCCTACGCTTGCTATTTCACCGATACCGTAAGATTACACAAATCTTGTACATACAAATCCAATTTTTGAATGTGTATACATGTAAATATATTTTTCAGGGAAACATTAAAATACTTAAATTTTTAATATTTAAGAGGATAAAAGAAACGGGAAAAATGAAAATAGCGAAAAAGAAAGCCTGAAAGCTGTGACGATATACCAAATAATTGGTGTCAGCTACAGGATGTTTACCGTACTATATCGAGATCATCGCCACTACAGGCTTTAGGGGCCAGTTGATCCACCCCTTTCAATAGCATGCCCAATGTGCCGAGCTAGTTAATACATCCATTCACAATTCTATTTAAAAAGATTTACCTCTGCATTACATCTGCATCAACCAATCAAAACAGGGGTTAGAGGATTAGCAGTGACATGATAAATAGGGTGGTGTTTTGTGTTGGGGGGAGCGGGATCATACAACTGATTGTCAGATAGCACAATTCCACACACAACACCTCCGCCTGTTAATCTATTGCCACCTCCAAATACACTCTTACTTAATGTCACCCAGCCTTTATTAAATTCAGTGAATACAGCACTAATTCTGGGTTATGTAACTGTGGGTTTGATACTGTGCACTAATGCACTCGAGGTCTGTAGGTGGCATTTTTTTTAGTTAAACTAAATGGAGAAATACTTTCACTTTCAGTTTGGTTTCATCTTTTATTATAATATCATATGGTCTGCTTATGTTTCTCATATAAATCCAAAACCAAAATGCAAAATGAGGCATTTAAAGCAATATCAGTTCTCAAAGATGGCAGATAATTTTTAATCATGTAGCAGCCACTGATATGTCAGTCTTAAGTATGTACCTCAGTAATTGATTTGTAGTTTATAGATCATGATCTCTTACAAAAAAAATTTCACAGTCAAGAATATTTGCAAATATTTTTGTATTTGGGTCCAAGGGAGCACACATTCTTTAAATTATCAGAGAAGTAGATTGTTGATAATTTCAATCACCTGCATACATTGTTCCATTCTGTTATGATAAATGGAACATTATTTAATGAGAACAAGAAAATTCAGTTGCTGATTGTTCTATTCACTTTGACTAAAGCATGATTAGCATTCTTCTTTATTTTAAAATCCTAAAATAAAGGGATAAGCTTATTATTTGATGACAAAGTTTTGAAAAACTAAAAGCCCTTTTTCTAGGGTCAAAGGTCAAGGTTAATTTTATCATTTTATTTTATATACAAACAAATATCTTTCAGAAACTTGGCAACAAAGGTGGGAAAAGCAAAATCTACTCTGAAAGATAGCATTAATTGAGTTATACAGAAATGACAACATGAAAGAGAGAGTGGCGATTGGGGGTTGGGAGTGGGGGATGGGGGTGGGGGATGGGGGTGGGGAGTTGGGGGTGGGGGTTGGGAGAAACTTCTCTGTCATAACTTTTGGATACATCAGTTACATCCTGAAGTTTTTTTACCTTTGAACTTAAAATAACCTAAACTTTTGACATACAGGTCCCAAAAGTGTTACACAACATACTATATCCAGTTCAACCTTGACATATATAAAATTCCATTGACCTAACTTCCATGCACCAAAATATAAGGACCAGGCCCTGGGATTATGATACCATCTTAATCTTAAGTTTTTTGTTTAGTTAATCTTGTATGACATCTTTTTTTAATAATGTAATCAATGTTTGTTTAAGTCCATTTCAGACTTAACAATAAGATAGTTTCAGGATCCCAAGACCAGATAACAAATTAGATTTTTATCTTCATGTGACCTTGACCTCGACATACAGCCCTAAATACAGTATGTGACACACTACCTTAATATCGTATATATATATATGAATAAGTTTTCTTGGCTAGGACTTCATTAAGTGAGAAAGAATGACTCAGACAATCAGCTTGGAGATACAAATGAACATACAAAAGGAACAAAAAGCTATATTCTGCTGACAAAACTTTTCAATGGTGCATCAAAAGTTCAAAATATCTCAGAAACCAAAATCACACAAGGGCCGTCAGAGACAGGTTATGCTCCCCAACTGGGACTTAATTCAAGTATGAAAAATTATAAAGGACAATAAGTGCACTGCCCTCCTTCTTGTTGAGATCTATCTACCTATGAAGTTTTATGTTGACACCTCTTGATAGTTTTCGTGTTATGCTCCGGACAAAATTATCACGGATGGATGGACAGACGGACAAAGCAGTGACTAAATGCTCTCCCTTTCGGGAGTATAAAAAAGCCATTGCTAATCAATGTTATGTCTATCATAGCTGACCCAAGTTACATCACGCATATCAGAGCTCATACAGAGCTCTGACCAGACAATAGAACACCAAGTAGTAATGTTGGTCAGCTGACTAATAGGCTTTGTCATAAAAAGCTCAGACCAGACCATAGAACACAAAATAGTAGTATTTGTCAGTCTATCTTACAGGCTTTGTCATACAGAGTTCTGACCAGACCATAGAATGTGAAGTAGTATCATCATCAGCCGACTTTTAAACTTTGTCACATAGTACTACGACTACAATAGGAAGAAGTATCTTCGATCAGCTTACCTTATAGACTTTGTCATACAGAGCTACGACCAGACCATAGAACACTAAGTAGGGCTTGTAGGCAACATACTCCTTGGCCGTCTTGTTAGATAAACTAGAAAAGAGAAAGCTGGCATTAAATAGCTATCATGTTAGATAAACTGTAGAAAAGAGAAAGCTGGCATTAAATAGCTATCATATTAACTAACGATATCTATCCAGACAATATTGTTGGAGGAGATATACAGACTGTCTGACTTACCAACAAATGGGCCCAAGCTGGCCATGAATTTTATGTTAAATTACATGACTACAGATATCTGTGCAAATGTCATAAACACCCTGCCTACCTTTTGGCTCCACCAGGGCTAACTGCACGTGTGTGTGCGAGGACCAGAATTCTCTCCAAGAACTTCACACGATTCTGCTTCCACTTGTCCCAGGACATAACATGCAGTGCCATCACGGTCCAGTAGAGGGCACCCTCCGTCTACAACACCAGAAAAAGTCAGTCAAAAGAGATTTTACTGATCACGGTCAAAGGCAAATTATTATTGGGTAATACATAGTCCCAAACTGGTTAAAATTTCTTTATTGAAAAGTACTATTATCTTCAGTTTACCCATTGATACGGGACCTAGCTAGTATGTTAATGATTCAAAAATATGCTACATACTTTAAAATGAGTTACGTAAATCACTCACCTCATAACTGTTTTCTACCCATTTCTCTTTTGGTTGTTCTAAAAACGTTGTCAGATTTTTTTCCTCTCTGCTGAATGACCTTGTACTGGAAAAATAAATTTAACTGTGAGAAGGGAAGCAACTCCTACAACTAAGTTTTTCTTTTCAACTATAAGTTAATATCACAAGCTGCTACAGCTTGGATACTCATTATTTACCAACTTTAAATACTTCACTTCCTCCATTTAAAGTATTTCAAGAGTATTTATTCTACAGCACGAGTTAGTGGAACAGTGGATATTCAAGGATAATTTGGGAAATGATAATGACTACTATATAATACAGTACGTCAAGATAATTTCTATAATAAATGGTCTATGAGTCACATTCATAATTTATACATGGATTAATAATTATCCTAATCAATCTTGAGCAGAATTAATACAGAAACTTGACATTGTTGATCAGCTATATCATTGTTTTATTGCGTCGTAGCTATTAACAAAAATATGTCAGCACTTCTCAAATTAGTGTCCCATAAACAAGACACGAGTATATATGTTGTAGCCTAAAGGATATTATCCTGTCACTGACAACAAACCTTGAGAGTATGTAAATCTCTACTTACGTGTTTATGACATACAGGGCCATATGCATCATGTGTGGTATGAGGTGTACGTTACTCTGGCGCCCACCACCCCCACTGTCGTCACTAAAGGACCGTTCCTGGGAGAAGCGAAGGAGTAGGATCTTGAGGTCGTGTACCGTGTAGAGATAGGTAGGGTCTCTCACACCTGTACACTCTTGCAGGTACGAGTTGTGGCTGAAACACAGAGCATACATAACCACTCACTAGCTCATCAATCATCACGACAATAAAACTGTTCATCACACGTCTAAACTTCACAATCATATCTTAACAAAAAGTATCATTTAACTGTTAAATATTCTGTATCTGCAAATAGCTGTAGAATGACTGGAGGACTTACCGGGCAAGGCAGGTGGCAAAGGCTGACTCCTGGACCTGTGGTCCCCACAGCGGCAGTAAACCATTACATTTGGTGTTTGCATTCTGAAGAGCTGCACTCTCCCATTCCTCCCGGCCACGAGCATGACGCACCGCTGCTGTATGACAGTCTACGTGGATGACATTGAAGTGCGATACGGTACTGTAGCCTGGTGTTTTACGGAGCTTACACTCAAAGTCATCCAGGTTTACCCGTTTGGTAAATGTGTACACTCCAAGGACCTGTCAATTTAAATGTAGATTTCAATTTTCAATTTATATTTTTCTGACCTGATACATGAAAATGCAAGATGAAGGCAAAGCAGATCAGAAATGTCTCCTTTATAAACAAGTGGAGCTCAGGGATGGGTTACTAGAAGGTATAACTTTTGTTTTGCATCTCTACCATTTTGCCATTTATATCACTCAAGATAAGGCGATAGAATGCTGACGTTGCAAAATGTACCTTCTGTGGCTGATAACGGTATCCTTCCCTACATATGCAACATGTGAGACCAGTCTCCTCCTTCAGATCCTCCATCTGTTTCAGCACCGAGCTCTTCACAGTCACCTGACCTTTGTCATTAGTCTGAAACAAAAAGGATATTAATTATATGACAATGAGATGTTGACTGATGAAAAAGGGGGTGGGGCAACTTGTCAGAACGACAAAGACAAGAGGCCCATGGACCTTAACGGTCATCTGACAAAAAGCAAGCCAAACCTAGAAAGTGGGTTGAGGTCATTCATTTGAACAAACTTGGTAGCCTCTCCTCCAAGCATCTTACAGGCCCAATATCAGCACTCATGGACTTTTGCTTGTTGAGAAGAAGTCGTTTGTATATTTTAACATATTTGACCCCTGTGACCTTGAAAGTGGGTTGAGGTCATTCATTTGAATAAACTTGGTAGCCTTTCCTCCCAGCATGCTACAGACCCAATATCGGCACTCATAGACTTTTGCTTATTGAGATGAAGTCCTTTGTATATTTTAACATATTTGACCCCTGTGACCTTGAAAGTGGGCCAAGGTCATTCATTTGAACAAACTTTGTAGGGCTCCATGCCAGCATGCTATGGGCCAAGTATTAGTCCCCTAGGCCTTCTAGTATTTGAGAAGAAGTTATTTAAAGATTTTGACATATTTGACCCCTGCGACCTTGAAAGTTGTTCAAGGTCATTCATTTAAATAAACTTGGTAGCCTTTCCTCCCAGCATGCTACAGACCCAATATCGGCACTCATAGACTTTTGCTTATTGAGATGAAGTCCTTTGTATATTTTAACATATTTGACCCCTGTGACCTTGAAAGTGGGCCAAGGTCATTCATTTGAACAAACTTTGTAGGGCTCCATGCCAGCATGCTATGGGCCAAGTATTAGCCCCCTAGGCCTTCTAGTATTTGAGAAGACGTTATTTAAAGATTTTGACATATTTGACCCCTGCGACCTTGAAAGTTGTTCAAGGTCATTCATTTAAATAAACTTGGTAGCCTTTCCTCCCAGCATGCTACAGACCCAATATCGGCACTCATAGACTTTTGCTTATTGAGATGAAGTCCTTTGTATATTTTAACATATTTGACCCCTGTGACCTTGAAAGTGGGCCAAGGTCATTCATTTGAACAAACTTTGTAGGGCTCCATGCCAGTATGCTATGGGCCAAGTATTAGCCCCCTAGGCCTTCTAGTATTTGAGAAGAAGTTATTTAAAGATTTTGACATATTTGACCCCTGTGACCTTGAAAGTTGTTCAAGGTCATTCATTTAAACAAACTTGATAGCCCTTCATCCCAGCATGCCACAGGCACAATATCAGCAATCTGAGCCTTTTGGTTATTGAGAAGAAGTTGTTTAAAGATTTTAACATATTTGACCCCTGTGACCTTTAAAGTGGGTCAAGGTCATTCATTTGAACAAACTTGGTAGTCCTTCATCCCAGCATGTCACAGGCCCAATATCTACACTCTGAGCCTTTTGGTTAATGAGAAGAAGTTGTTTAAAGATTTTAACATATTTGACCCCTGTGACCTTTAAAGTGGGTCAAGGTCATTCATTTGAACAAACTTGGTAGAGCTCCATGCCAGTATCCTCTGTGCCAAGTATTAGCCCCCTAGACCTTCTAGTATTTGAGAAGAAGTCGTTTGAATGAAAAGTTTACAGACGGCGCACGGCGGACGACGACAGACGAAGCATGATGACTATAGGTCATCGGACCCTTCGGGTCAGATGACCTAATAAAACAGAAACAGGTCAGAACAATGAATTAAGGTGGCAATATACAAGGAACCTGTTTTCTCTAATTTGAAAAATATTTTTTTATATCAAATAGATATATAACAATTTGCTTTTGGTACAGAAATGCACATTTAATTAATATCTAACTTTTTGTTATGGAATGAACATCAAACGAATATCAACTTTTTGCAAAGGAAATGTACATCAAATTAATATTTAACATTTTACTTAGAAAATGCACATCAAATTAAAGTGTAACATTTTGCTATGGAAATGCACATTAAATAAATATTTTGGCTTTTTCAAGATTTTTCATTATGGTCTTATAGTTTAAACTGAGAAAAGGTAATGGTACGTCAGTCCTAGTCTCTAGACTGCCAGTGTATGTATTATTTGAAAGAAGTCTATTATCTGCCTCACCATCATTCCCAGTGCACCCAACTGTTTCTTCCTCTTTGCCATGGCCAAACGCTTCTTCTCTGCTTTGGTTTGGTGGCGGAAGTCTTCAATCTACAAATGAGTTGACATTTTCTTTTAAATTTCAAATAGGATGACGAAAAAAGTTATATGTTACTAGAAAACAAACAATGCAATGCAATTCCTTCAAAAAGTAGTTTAACAGAATATTAGCTTTTCATCAAACACTATTTGATTTTGTAACGAGAAGGATTACCTTAGCAGCAACCTCATCATGTGACCGTAGGGCCTCCAGCAGGTTCTCTGCCATGGTGCCTATATGTTGGTCAGACGAGGCCTGCTCCAGCTTGTGGAGGATAGGTATGCACTCTGCACCGATCAGTAGCTGGGATGGCGGATGGCCACTACATAGTCCTGTTAACAGGCGCAGTACATAGCTCAGAGCCTGTTTACCTAAGAAGTCCTTCCAGTTCTCAGCATCAGTCCTGAAAAACACAATCTAGAGTCAACCACGAACTTGATACGAAAATGACGAAGAACTGAAATTTAAGAAGTTGAAAACCAAAAGGAATGACAAGACTACTTCATGGGAGTGCAAAATACAAAAAGCTTATAGAAACATGTCTAAGTATACGAATCAAACAGAAAGACACCAGCATTACTGAACCAAAAGGAATACCTTGTATAGTTGATAATGTGTCTGACATTTGTAACAAGGTATGCACCTACATAATAACAAACTCAATTTAAGCAGTTATATTAATCTTCAATGCTTTAATGAATACCTTTTCTTACAAAGAAACTAATCTAGAGAAATTTATAATTTTGAGGTGAACAGAATAAAAAATTTCAAAACTTCAACATATATTTGAAAACTTTGGGACATTTTTAAACTCCTAATGTTGAAAATCACAGGATATTGGTGGTACATAATGAGGGTTTAGATACTTACGCCAGGAGGGTCTTGAACATGGGTGTGTTCTTTAGTATATAGTCCACAGCCATCTTACAGATACCATGGTCAACAATCATGTCCTTCAACTTGATACCATTAGCATTACTCTGAAAAAAATATTGTAATATAATAATGGCATGATTCAATTATCACTGTTTATTATCTATAGATTGTTACAAAATGGTTTGTCTACACAAAGTTTCGTAAATGTTGCTCACCTCTATACTACAGGCCACAGCACAGAAACAATCCAGGTGGACAAGCTCGTCTTGGCTATGTTCAAGGTCAAATCTACAGGTACCAAAAATCCAAGGATTAATGAAGGGTACAACAATATACAACCTTAGGTAAAACGAGAAAATATCACATATTAAAATCTTTGATCCTACATAATGATTAACTTCTAAAAAAGTAACAGTGACCTAGAATTTGAAGCCTTAGAGTACAAATTCAATCTTTGTGATTTTACTTTTATTAAAGTTGACAATGATGACTTAAGATTTTACAGGTACCAGTTGTTACAACACTATACTATCTGATACAGAGTAATTGATTGCTTACTTGGCAAAGTCCAGGTAGGGTTTGAAGTGGTTAATGAGAGCCAGCATCTTATCTTCTTCTCCAAAGGCAAGGAAGGGGATCAGTCTCATCAAGCCCTGCAGCACGCTTGCATTTGAGCGTACAAATGGACTGTTGATACGGTCCAGTAATAACATCAACTGGTCCTTATCTCCACACAGCTTGGAGAATTCCTAATCAAACAGATCATCATAAGTATCACTAATAACATAAAAGTTACTCAACTTTAAAATAAACCTAATAATTACAAAAACACAAAAAAAACAAACAATGAAACAGTTGAAATATCATTAAAGATCATCCAAATCAACACAACTTACCCTGTACTGCTCTGGAGGCTGTGAGCTGGCCTCCAGGAGTAACAAAACTTACCCTGTACTGCTCTGGAGGCTGTGAGCTGGCCTCCAGGAGTAACAAAACTTACCCTGTACTGCTCTGGAGGCTGTGAGCTGGCCTCCAGGAGTAACAAAACTTACCCTGTACTGCTCTGGAGGCTGTGAGCTGGCCTCCAGGAGTAACAAAACTTACCCTGTACTGCTCTGGAGGCTGTGAGCTGGCCTCCAGGAGTAACAAAACTTACCCTGTACTGCTCTGGAGGCTGTGAGCTGGCCTCCAGGGGTAACACAACTTACCCTGTACTGCTCTGGAGGCTGTGAGCTGGCCTCCAGAGGTAACAAAACTTACCCTGTACTGCTCTGGAGGCTGTGAGCTGGCCTCCAGGGGTAACACAACTTACCCTGTACTGCTCTGGAGGCTGTGAGCTGGCCTCCAGGAGTAACAAAACTTACCCTGTACTGCTCTGGAGGCTGTGAGCTGGCCTCCAGAGGTAACAAAACTTACCCTGTACTGCTCTGGAGGCTGTGAGCTGGCCTCCAGAGGTAACAAAACTTACCCTGTACTGCTCTGGAGGCTGTGAGCTGGCCTCCAGGAGTAACAAAACTTACCCTGTACTGCTCTGGAGGCTGTGAGCTGGCCTCCAGGAGTAACAAAACTTACCCTGTACTGCTCTGGAGGCTGTGAGCTGGCCTCCAGGAGTAACAAAACTTACCCTGTACTGCTCTGGAGGCTGTGAGCTGGCCTCCAGGAGTAACAAAACTTACCCTGTACTGCTCTGGAGGCTGTGAGCTGGCCTCCAGGAGTAACAAAACTTACCCTGTACTGCTCTGGAGGCTGTGAGCTGGCCTCCAGGAGTAACAAAACTTACCCTGTACTGCTCTGGAGGCTGTGAGCTGGCCTCCAGAGGTAACAAAACTTACCCTGTACTGCTCTGGAGGCTGTGAGCTGGCCTCCAGAGGTAACAAAACTTACCCTGTACTGCTCTGGAGGCTGTGAGCTGGCTTCCAGGAGAATCACTTCCATGATTTGTAGGATTTGTTCTGAGATGGTCTGTCCTTTGGTGGCTGAGCTTTCTTGTTCAGCCCATAATGCCTAAAACACAGAGAGATTCTTACTGAATATTGTAAATTAAGTTCATGCCTATAATACAGAGACATGGTGAGAAAACATTTCTGAACATTTCATATTTAATTTTGACATCTTTCTAGTGATGTAAATTGTTCTATAATGTTTAATATGGTTTTAATTCATAAAACCATAAATCATTTTTCTTTTCTTTTGAACCAATATTTGTGTGAGTAACATGTTATCAACCAACCATATTGAGGGCCCCCAGCATAATGTTTATAGTGTTCATCGCTGGTTTGATAAGCTCCTGGCGGTTGGCCTTGACGTTGACAGCAAATCCAAACAGCTTCAGGAGGACAGTCATCAGTTGTTTACCTAACACTAAGTCTTTGATAGATGACAACCTGTACAAAATAAACATTGGTTAGTGGGTAACCTGTACACAATAAAAAGTGGTTAGTGGGTAACCTGTACACAATAAAAAGTGGTTAGTGGGTAACCTGTACACAATAAACAGTGGTTAGTGGGTAACCTGTACGCAATCAGTGGTTAGTGGGTAACCTGTACGCAATCAGTGGCTAGTGGGTAACCTGTACACAATAAAAAGTGGTTAGTGGGTAACCTGTACACAATAAACAGTGGTTAGTGGGTAACCTGTACGCAATCAGTGGTTAGTGGGTAACCTGTACGCAATCAGTGGCTAGTGGGTAACCTGTACACAATCAGTGGTTAGTGGGTAACCTGTACACAATAAACAGTGGTTAGTGGGTAACCTGTACACAATCAGTGGTTAGTGGGTAACCTGTACACAATAAACAGTGGTTAGTGGGTAACCTGTACACAATCAGTGGTTAGTGGGTAACCTGTACACAATAAACAGTGGCTAGTGGGTAACCTGTACACAATCAGAGGCTAGTGGCTAACCTGTACACAATAATCAGTGGTTAGTGGGTAACCTGTACACAATAAACAGTGGTTAGTGGCTAAACTGTACACAATAAACAGTGGTTAGTGGGTAACCTGTACACAATCAGTGGTTAGTGGGTAACCTGTACACAATAATCAGTGGTTAGTGGCTAACCTGTACACAATCAGAGGCTAGTGGCTAACCTGTACACAATAATCAGTGGTTAGTGGCTAACCTGTACACAATAAACAGTGGTTAGTGGCTAACCTGTACACAATAAACAGTGGTTAGTGGGTAACCTGTACACAATCAGTGGTTAGTGGCTAACCTGTACACAATAATCATTGGTTAGTGGCTAACCTGTACACAATAAACAGTGGTTAGTGGCTAACCCGTACACAATGAACAGTGGTTAATGGCTAAACTGTAAACAATAATCAGTGGTTAGTGGCTAACCTGTACACAATACAGTGGTTAGTGGCTAACCTGTACACAATAATCAGTGGTTAGTGGCTATTCTGTACACAATAATCAGTGGTTAGTGGCTATTCTGTACACAATAATCAGTGGTTAGTGGGTACCCTTGAAAAAAACTTCGGTTTGTCCCAATTCATTTTTACAATGTTCTATTTAAAGTTGATAAACAAATTTTTCTGCATAAATCAAAATGGCCCAATTCTGCTCATAATTAAGATGACTAAAGGTGCTGGATACCATGGAAACAATTTATAAAGCCTTATCTGCTATTCTACAGAACTGATTGTAGATTTTAAGAAGAAAACATATATCATGATTATCTTGCAGGTTATGCATACCTTATCACTTATCCTATCCTACAGACCAGATTTTACTTACCTCTGTAAAATGACTCGGAGTCCTTCTCCTTCATTCAGCACATTTGCCATCTTGTACACCTCTTCCTTGTCTACATCTTCCTCTGTAAGACACCATCTCACATGTAACCATTTAATGTCAAGTCATATTAATGTAATATAAATCATATAAAAAACACCGTGATACTTTCCATAACTATTTAATTTAAAAATTCTAAATTCCTTTTCTAACAAAAAGTGTAAGTTTGTTACCAAGTCAATAACATCATCTTGTATCACTTCCTTTCCATTAAATTAACAAAATAAATTATATTTATGTCAAGTCGAAGCGATCTTAATTTTAATTTATATATATTTTAATGCCTTAAATTGTTACAGACTCAGAATCCAGCTATAAATCACAACAGCTGGACGCTCGTGTAGAAACCATGACTACTGACCGGTACTGGTGTCCAGTGAGTTCACCATGTCTTCAGTAGCATCTCCTAACAGTCCTCTCATCCGGTAGATAATGGGCATTGGTTCCCCCTAAATATGATGAGTGTAAACATTTATATACTAGTCACTAATAACAACAAATAGCAGTTGAAATCCATCCATATCAAATAGATGCTTTGAGTCAGAAATTAGTTGTAACTTTAGAAATTTGGTGACCAAGTGCTACTGTTGAAATTGAGGTACTTTTGGGTCAATAGATCATAAAAAGACACACATGTATACATATAAGAAAAAAGACTAAATCATTATTACTGACAATTAATGTTAACTTGTACTAATGGACCATAATGTAATTAAGACATATAGCTATTATCACTTTGAATTAAGGGCCACAAAACACTGAAACAATGAATGTGAGATTTCATTCAGATCTGCACCAGGAAGACATTTAGCTGTTTGATAAGAATTTGAATATGACCCAAATAGCTGATATGATCAAAAGGGTGTCAAAGTTGTACATGACATATTGGTCATAAATTATGCGAGTTATATTTTCTTCATGCATCTGAATAAAGGCTGACCTGAAATTTGATCTGAAGAATTGACCTTGACTGGAACAAGAATTCAGAGAAATGTGAGTAATACTTTTGCCCCCGATATATTAAGTCTGGAGACAGAAGTATAAAAGTTGATAAAATGGAAATCTTCAGATGTTTATTATTATCAGTGTGACTTAATTAAAGACAATATGAGGAAGTGGTCAACTACCTACCTCACCATGCTCCACTGCCCAGACTTTCTTGTAAACATCACGTACAGGTAAGTCAAGACTGATGATTTTTTTATTCACCAATAACTCCATCCCAGTATCATCTTCTAGGAGAGCTACCAACTCACAGTCTGTGGAATACAAACACTGGATTAATAACTAGGTTAATAACTAGTAAAGGCAAAAAGCTTGAAAAAACAAAGATGCATTTATTGTGAAGTCAAGAAATAAACTATGGTTTATTCTAGTTTTAAATCAATTTTCAAAGTGTTATTTTCTCAATTATATTCCATCCTTGATAATAACATAAAATTGAAACTCCTGATTGTAACACCCTTTACAGAGTATATACAAATAACTGTAAATATGAATATTCTAGTGGTAAATTAGTGCTTTCTGCACTGAAAACATTGTGATAAAATATGGTAATGCTAATTCCAGTTTCCATTTGCTGCTTATATAGCAATTATTTGGGAAGTGTTAATTTATCAACCCCATTTTTCTAAAATATGATAATGCATTAAATTTGATAGTGCAAAATACAGTATTTCTTAATTCGCAGTGTTCTTTATGCCCATACCTTTCCACATCTCAGAACCATCTGACCATCCCCAACTCAGAACCATCTGACAATCCCCACCTCAGAACCATCTGATCATCCCCAACTCAGAACCATCTGACCATTCCCATCTCAGAACCATCTGACCATCCCCAACTCAGAACCATCTGACCATCCCCATCTCAGAACCATCTGACCATCCCCATCTCAGAACCATCTGACCATCCCCAACTCAGAACCATCTGACCATCCCCATCTCAGAACCATCTGACCATCCCCATCTTAGAACCATCTGACCATACCCATCTCAGAAACATCTGACCTTCCCCATCTCAGAACCATTTGACCATCCCTATCTCAGAACCATCTCGGAATCTTTACAGTTTTTATCTTAACATAAAAATGATAATACACAGACCTTGGCAGATTTTATTTTTGACATCCCTCATCAGTGGCCCAAGACCAGGTTCATTTGAGCTGTAAGGATTACCCAGCATCCTCCCCTGCAGGAAGTCCTCCTGTTGAGGATCTTTCTCCAGGATCATAAGGAACTCTCCTGTGTCACTCTCCTCCTGTTAATATCACAAACATTGGATTACATTCTTGTTCATGACAATGAAGATTTTAGTAATTATTTATAAGGAAATACACAAGAAAACATTGCTGCTAACTTCTGATACCCATTCCACACAGCTACCCTAAGATATTAAAAAAAATGACAGTCTTCCACAAAAATGATGCCTTTAAAAAATACAAGCTCAGACTTACAGGGAAGATAATGCTACACAGCCTCTCAAAGATGAATACAGGTGACCTGTAGTCATCCTCCGGGTACTTCTTCACTGTCTGTACACACACCTGCATGAACTCCTTAGTCTCTGACTCAGTACCTGTAACATTGAGTAAATGTTAGTTTCTGCCTACCTCACAATTATCAAAAATAAAAAGTTGGTTAGCTTGTGCATTGTTAACTTGTATATTCTATCTTAAAAGCTTTCAGTCAATAGGAGATTAATAGATTGCATTGGTAAATTTAATTCCTAAAAGTTTCTTTACTGATAACACTGATATAGAAAGTCAGTGTATGTCTGATTCTGCTGCAAAGATTTAGAATATGAAGTTTATATTCTACTGTTTGTGGTGAATAGGATTATTAACTGTAACTTTGTAGAAGAACAGGCATGATATTCACCTGTGGTAAGCTCTTCCAGTAGCTCCAACAATTTGTCCTGTGTGTCATCAATCAACTTCGTTCTCTGGACGACAAGTTTACGTAACGACAAGTAACCGTTGAGGACATACCCCACCAGCTTATTTTTATAGTGTCTTTTGATCACGTCCTGTTCTACAAACAGGGACAGTAACTCTATCATAGCCTTAAGTGCAAAGCCCTGGGCAAGGTCAGAGGTCAAGGTCGTCTCCTCCAAGTACTGAAGCTGTTCTACCTCCTGTAATAGACAGTGTAGGTTAACCATTATCCAGAAAAACTTAAGACCAGATAATAACAAGGTTGGTATGTCTCATCATTTTGTATCTTAAATACCACTGTATCATGTCTTTTCAATCAGCAGATCAGGCATCAAACAAATGTTTCGTTAAATGAATGTTTCAAAATATTATAAATACATTTTTTTTTTAACAGAACAGCCATCCTTGATAATGCTATCTGCTTACTTAGGCAATCGTGAACAAAAAGACACTTCATAATTATATCATTTCAATTCTTGTGGGTGTTTTGATGTTCCATGTCAGTCAACAGTCAAAACTATTGACCAGTCAATAATTTAAACTGTTGTCCTGTTCCGAACAATTTTCTAGCAATTTTCCTGAGAAACAGGCAAAATTGCTAAATTTATATTCCAACAGAAAGTCAGGCAACAGTATCAATCATTAGCTAATGCCACATTGCAGGATTAATAGCAAATGTATATGTGCAGACTACTAGTATGAACCAGACATGCTGGCTTCATAAAGAAACAGTGTGACGGCTCTTCTTTGTGAGCACCAAGGAAAGAACAAACGACAAATCTTATTAACTACAAGCACTAAAACTGAACACCTTTCAATGAAGAGTTGTTTCTGTATTGAGAGTACCATTCCATGCAGCTAACGGTTCAATACCGGTACTTGCCTTTGTTATGAGTTCCCCAATATGGAAGAGCAGACCTTTGATAGCAAGGTAGTACTTCCAGTAGGACGGTGTGATGAGACGTTTATACAGCACCAAGAAGTTAGTAGCACTTTCCCCACTCTGACCAATGTCATCCAGGCAGCTGTAGGAAAATAGCACTTTTCTGAGCAATGTCAGGATACAGCATGTGCAAGCAAGTCATTAAATAACTAGGATTTGTTCTCATTTTTCACTCTCTAACTTAACTGAGGTACATAGTATAAAACAATCCAGATCAGATACAACGCATTCAAAGTCTAACCACTTTTTGCATTTCATTATCATTGCCAAACTTTAGCATTAATTTTCCAGATAATGACTTTATACTCACTACATAAGGACTTGGAGTGAGCAAATTCATGGTTTCATAATTCAGACTTACAGTGTGAGCATGTCAATGATTTCTTTCTTGCGAGTAGGTATTTGGGCGATGGATTCTACAATGCTGCAAGCTGTCTGACGTGCTGATCTAGATGAAGGGGAAAACATTGCCTGCTTTAACCATGTGGTCTGAGTCAACTTGAGCTGGACAGCAGGGGTCTTCCACATCTTCTGGCGCCACCTAGTGGCATACTTCTCCATCAAAAAGCGAGCTCTTATCTCTTTTTTGTTTGGTTTTTCTTTCGGTTTTTCCTCCAATTCTTGTGATACTGATGGAAAATAAAACAACTTTGATAAACAATGGCAACATGGTTACTATGTTGAGTAGCTTGTAACAACTACTTCATCAGAATATACATTAAGTAACGATCGATATTTATTTACAGAAAAATACATTTTGACACACTGACCTTTCTTAGGAAGACGTTTACGCCATGACTGGAATGAGTTCCTTGGATCACCAGCTAGCCATGCTTTACTGTTAACATGGAGCTCGGCAGGCAGCTGCCCTGCACTAGATGGCACTCCTTGTACGTCTGGACCTCGGTTATCCTGTAGGTGTAAATATTCAACTGTAACTACAACAAATCTTCACAATCACCAAACTCTTGTATCAATATATATATCAGAAAGAAAAATTGCTTAGTATTGGTCAGTATTGCATACCTTTTCATTGACAACAGTCACAGTGGTGCTGACTGTGGCTCCAGATGGCTTGATGAGATGCTGAAGGATCCGGAGGCAAGGCAGCGTGATGCTGTCCATGATTACAGGCTGTTTTAGCTGCATCCCCATTAAAAACAGCCTCATCACTGAAACAGTTAAAATCTCCCAGTAAAACAAGCATTAAAACCTTTAACTAGCTATACATCCCCATTAAAAACAGCCTCATCACTGAAATAGTTAAAATTCCTCAGTAAAACAAGCATTCAAACCTTCAACTGTCTAAAGTCATCAACATTACAATACTACAGTCTAACATAAACAATCAGACATGTCTTACCACAGCGGACGCGCTGTTCCCAACATGTATCCTCTTGTTGTAATGACCGAGCCAACAAAAGGATTTCATGTCTTACTGATGATCCCTGCAACACAAACAAAAGTTATTTAGAAATACACAAATCCTCCAATCACAAATAATCAGAACATTTCATATTTTAGAATTTAACACACAATCTATGAATTAATAAGACAAAGTGTCTTATACTAAATTGATTTGAGGTTCTTTAACTTAACAGTCTAAACAAAGATTGGCAAAGCGATTCTACTGACCAGATCTGGGTTGGAGAAGTGACCTTTGAGGGCAGCAGCAATGCGGGTCATAATGAGGTTGTTCATTTCCTCTGTACCACGACGGCTATCCTTGGTAAGGAGACAGAGGAGGTGGCGTACCTCTGTCCTTACATGTAATGTCCCATGCCTTAGGTTGTAGTCAATCAATTCTTTGATCATTCCCTATAAAAACAAAAACTCCATGTCATACACTTACAATGACAATATCTGAAGTATGCATTTGATTTAAATGTTTTTGTGAGAGGTTATTATGTTAAAGTTAATTTGACTACAGAGAAACAGTACACATTTACCCAACAACAGTGTCAGTAAGAGCTTAAACTTCCACTGAGTGTCTATGAGAGTTTTGCTGACCACTAAGAGTATATGAAAGCTTAGCTAATCAATGAGCGTTGATGAGCACTGATCAAACAAATGAGGGTCACTGAGAGCTTACATGATCATTGAGTATTTGTGAGAGCTTATCTGACCACTAATGGTTTATAAGTGCTTTCTTAGCCATTGACTGTTTGCAAGAGCTTACCTGATTACTGAGTGTTTCTAAACGCTCACCTGACCACTGGGTGCTTGTGAGAGCTTACCTGACTACTGAGTGTTTCTAAACGCTCACCTGACCACTGAGTATTTGTGAGAGCTTATCTGACCACAAATGGTTTTAATGCTTTCTTAGCCATCGAGTGTTTGCAAGAGCTTACCTGACTACTGAGTGTTTCTAAAAGCTCACCTGACCACTGGGTGCTTGTGAGAGCTTACCTGACTACAGAGTATCTGGCGGAGGTTGGTGTTAGTGACAAGGGCTCTCAGCAGTGTTATACAGTGCTCAACAGCTGAGCTAGCACATCCATAACAGTTACTAGGACGTCCTCTGTAACAGAATTATTGATAAAATAGAACAAGAAGAATTCAATAACATGATAAATCATCTTTTATAATTTATGTATTTATTTGAATTCATTATGCAACAATCACTGGATATCTTTAATCTATTCTCACAACTTGGACAATCATCCTTGTAACTATTGCCATACTTACATGTCTTTAGTAGCCTTTGGTTTACAAGTGACCTCCCTGACCTTAGTGCTGTCTGCAGTGTCGCGAGGAGAAGACAGCGGAGAGGCACGGCTGGCTGCAGCCACTGCTTCCCTCTGCTGACAATCATATTCAACCAACTCCTTGCGGCATGCCAGAACTTTCTGTTAAACAAAAAATTGATGAATGATACTTTACAACCAATAAATAAATAAAATGATGAAAGTGATAATAAAATCCTTGTAAAATACATAATCAATATTCCCTCATTAAATGAATATTTTTTTCATTTTTACTCATAAAATAATTTCATTGGGGATTGAAGTAAATTCCTAATAAACTCTTGAATCTATGAGAAATTTGATTACATTTTCTAACTAGAATCATAGTTACATATTTCATACTTGCTTTCAAACTTCATCTTTTCTTATTTAAGTTTTTTTGATGGTAGTGTTGTCTTATTCCTTATAACATCCTATTGACAAGGTTGTTTGTCTGGTTCATCACCATTAACTATTTGTTCAGTAGGATGTCCTTACCCGACACAATAATAAAAACATCCTCCGGGTATTTTGAAGTTCTATAGGTATTTTTGATCCCTTACCTGTATAGTCTTGCTGAGTTCATCAAACGAGGACTTGCACTCACTACAATATTTGATGGCGAGTTGCTGTATGGACTTGTTAACACTACTGTTGGTAATGGCAGCTCCAGCTCCAGCTCCTCCACCAGAACTAGCAGCAGCTGCCTCGTCCTGCTGTGTATGGAGAGATTAAAATCAAGTTAAATAGAATCATATTGCAACAACAGTAATCCAAAAAATATAAAATTTTAATGTAATACACAATACAACAAAAACACCAATGCAATATTGTCTTTTTTAGAAAATTTCAACTTGAATTTACCTTATAATCTTTCAAATTAAGAAATATTTTAAAGACACTTTTTGAAAATTGACACTATGATTTCACTCCAGGATATATGATTTCACCCCAGGATATAAGATTTCACCCCAGGATATATTAGTTGTGTAGCTATCTCGGCAATTTCCTGATTATTTATGTACAATTTAAATTTTTAGTATATAATTGTGTGCTTCATATATTATTTATCACAGAAATCTGGCTGTAGATTTAGTGTGTTTAATATGTATAGAAATCTAGTTATGATCACATGTTCTTTTAATTATGCCAGGAAGTGGAGTGTTGTACCGGTAGTTTCTCTGAACTGTGTTCTGTGACTTGTACCAGCAGCTGCTCCAGCAACGGACGGTGGTGTTGTAACTGTTTGTAGATTCTGTCAGCCTTCTCCAGTAGGCTGTTGATAGTTGAGATTGTCTACAAGAGAAAAAGTCACATATCAATACACAGAGCTTCAGTATGAATTCTCCCTACAGGATAAAATTAAGTCCAAGACCTTTTTATCAGGAAACAAAGCCCCAGTGTTTTTGGGGTTTTTTCAATCACTGATTAAATCTCTTCATTTTCTAAGGTGCTGAATTTGCTCATAAACACATGAAAACATATTTCAGCCCAAACGTTGAACATTAACCCATCATTGAACATAAGTTGCCTTAAAAGGATCCCTTCTGAATATAACTTTTCAATCTTTAACTGACCAGTTTGGATAGGATTTTTTCCCTCATTATATTTTTCAAAGATGATCAGGAATTTTATAGATAATATTGACTTCCATAAACCAGACAATTGTTATACCTTTTTGCGGTCCTCTTCATTCTCTATAGGATCGACAGCACAGCAGGTCTTGGCCGTCAGTGTAAAGTCAAACTTGGCATATTTACAGAAGCCACAAGCATTACACAGGAATGGATCCTTCTCATCATAGTTTATAGCTCTGGTAAAAATCCATTAGTTCTCATTTAATACACTACATAGTAAGAACTTCATATATTGACTATTTAAACCTACATTACAATTTCTGTCGAAGTATCAACACTACAGCATTGTTCAACACTACAGTATTGTTTAACACTGAAACATTGTTCAATTTTGAAACATTGTTCAACACTACAGCATTGTTTAACACTGAGACATTGTTCAACACTACAGCATTGTTTAACACTGAGACATTGTTCAACACTACAGCATTGTTTAACACTGAAACATTGTTCAACAATACAGCATTGTTTAACACTGAAACATTGTTCAATTTTGAAACATTGTTCAACACTACAATATTGTTCAACACTACAACATTGTTCAACACTACAGCATTGTTTAACACTGAAACATTGTTCAACACTACAGCATTGTTTAACACTGAAACATTGTTCAACACTACAGCATTGTTTAACACTGAAACATTGTTCAATTTTGAAACATTGTTCAACATTACAGCATTGTTTAACACTGAAACATTGTTCAATTTTGAAACATTGTTCAACACTACAGCATTGTTTAAAACTGAAACATTGTTCAACACTACAGCATTGTTCAACTCTACAACAATTTTTGAAAATAATAAATCTTCTATAAAAAACTGAAATCAGTTAATAATCTTTATTAATAAGAAATGACTAGATTGTATATGAAGAGACATTCTTCCAATCAATTCAATAATGGTGCATTTAATCCATTGCTTTAAAACACATACAGCTGGTTGTTCAGCTGGTGGTATGTGATGCATACCTGCACTTGTGGCACTGGAAGACATTCTCTCCACAGTTACCACACACTCCTGGGTTAGCAGGGACAGAAGCACTACATCGTGGACACTGTAGAGTCTCTGCGGTCGCCTGCAGGTTGTCATAGAAATCAGCATACTCTATCATCAGGTTACAAGCCACGATGGGAATGGGGAAGTCTACCTTCACATCTGTCTGACCAGCGGACAGGGTCACCTTTCGTGCCTTGTGCCAAAGTCCTGGTCTGCAAAATCATATTTAAAGGGTTGAGTTGCAATCATTACTCAACAATATTAATCAACAAACAGATTTGACAACAGTATAAAAACAGGCATTTTATTTCCAGATGTAACTCACTTGTTTTTGAGCTCGACTACAGCTTGTACTGTCCTGTTGTTGTAATAGATGTTCATCACACGTACCTGTGGTAAGAGTACAATATCACTGGCACAATCAGAATATAAAAGTATACATACATTGCTTGACTTTCACTTTTGCAAATTGAAAAACCAGCCATACTTTTTAAACATTAACATACAAAATGCCAGCTACTACATGACATTATTTTCAATGAAAAAAAGTGAACTGCAAGATATCTGTTATTTTTCAGTAATTCTTTTTAAACATTTTGAAATTTCAGACACCAAGTTGTTAAATCTAACGAAGTGTCAAATAAGAGGACCAGATACGTAATTGACGGCAGACTTATCTCCCTTACAAACTAAGACCTTTGATGGACCACAGATTGAGGTTACTATACTTACCATCTTGGTGCGCTTCAGGTCACTGATGCGGAGGGAAATCTTGGATATGGTGTGACTCCCTACCAGCTTCACAATCTGTGTAGTGGTGGTAAACTTCGAGTCAACCTTGATAGCCGACAGCTTCAGGTTCTGAAAACATACACCACACAGAAATCATAGTATTATCACTTAATTGTTAAAGGAAAAGATACCCTTCGACAATGTGGCAGAAATTAAATAACAACCAAGTACAGATCACAGACTTACAGATTAAGTTACATTTTTTCAATTAAATTAATGATCACACAGTCATTGATATACCCTGAGTACATTTACTATCTGTTCAGTAAAATATGAATGCACAGAAATAATTCTTTCATTTGAAGTGTCAAAGACAAAATTTTTCATTCCATAGCAATTTTTTTATTTTTCAAATATAATGTTTGCATGTGTACAATTCAGTTTAATATGTAAAAAACAACTAAATTATAAGCAAGAAGTATTATATTTGAAGGGTTACTGTGGATTCCTCTTCTGGGTTGTTACACACAAGGCAGGGGTCACTTTCCAGGTAGTACCCATCAAAGTCAACTAGCCCTTGTAACATACTGCAACAAACCATCACATCAAAATATATATTTTGTTTGGTCATGGATTGAGATTTCTGTTAATTTACAATATTCTGTACAAAAAAGGTTTGTCTTGATAAAGAATTAGACATTTTTTCCATCTAAAAGATGTATATAAATAGAAATCCTATGAAATCTGCATTCACTGAAAAAATAAAAATCAAATGTTGAGGAAAGACTATGTATAAATTTGAAGTACTTACTTGTAGATCTGGGCGTTTGGATGGTTTGACAGGATCTGGTTTTCTTCCTTAAGTACTGATATAGCCTTCTCCAAATATTGCTTTGTCTGTAAAAGAAAGTTAATACAAGAAGTATTATCACTGCTTTAAGCATGTTTTACTGATAGAATACAAAAAGGAGTAAATATTTTCTCCACTACATCCCCTTCCAGGTCATCACTTAAGGATCCTACGTGTTTGTCTGCTTACCTTTTTCTCTGATGTCTGTGGTGTCTTGAGTACAAAGTATCCCAGCAAGTCAACAAATTGTGCTGCCTTACGTCCATACAGAGGCAGTTCCTTCCATAGACTCCACATCAGTTCTAGCAGATGTTCCTGTTCCGTCAGACCGGAGTTCCTGGTACAGAAACACAGCGGTTAAATGTAGAATCTTCTTCTATGTTCAATTTCATGGGATAAAAGTGAGAATTGTTTTTCTCTATGTCACCTTAATAAATTAATCATGTCTACCAGGTCATTATTGCAGCTTAAAATTCTGCAATCTATTAACTCAATAATTAATCGATAGCATTCTGAATGCTACATCTGTGATCTTTAAGTTTTAATTCATCTTAATTTAGAAGAGGTAAAAGTTTTAATAGAAAATGTACTGTTTATATAGAAGTAAAGTTAGACAAGCTGTTTATATATACTTTACTTAGAGATATTAGAGCAAACTTGGTCAACCTGTTTATATCCCTTACTTGTAGATATGGTAGAGCAGGCTGTGAGCCTGCCAACGTATACTAGTAGCATTGGACTCCAGAAGGAATGTACGCAGGAATCGAATCATCAGGTCTTTGTCCAGGACACGATTTAACAGTTGTACCAGATTGACACACAGTTGTTCATCATGGCGCTGACCATCATCAGAATCTGTGCAAAAACAAATCAGATGTCATGCAGTTTCAGTTGTCTTGTGGTAATCCTTGTGACAGAAAAAAACAACAAAAAATCAAAAGATTTTATCTGATATCAAAAACTCTTTTATGATATGCTTCTAACATGGTGTCTGTATATTGCAGTAAATGCCACATCAGAAGGCTATAAACTTGTTTGACCTTTGACCTACCCTCATTTTTGTCTTTGTCTTTATCTTTGTCTTTCTTGTGTTTGGCTGGAGAGCTGGTTGCAGCTCCACCCCCTGTCCCTGTGTGTCCAGTAACTGGACCCTTTGACCCACACAGAGCACACTGAAGCAGCTGTAGAACCGTGGGTGCCACTCCCTCGTCTAACACGATACTGGCCCTTACTAGAAACGCCAACACTCCTACAAAATAAAGTTTACTACATGTAGCTGACTCCTATATTCCTGGCATAAAAAAAATCCCAAAATCTATCATGTGTATCCATCCATACTTAACAAAAAAAAATAAACAATAAATGGTAAGATTCAGTTGGGTGAGACAAAAAATTTCTGCAGACTTCTATCAGACAAGGTAATGATATGGAAATGAATCAATGCTTTACAGGTGTACCGTACAAATGACAGCACCTTTCGTTTCTGATGATATAGTGTAAAATTACTATCTGGATGTGGCTGTAACATTTGTACCACATTGTGCAGCCCGTACCTTGGTGATCTCTACAATATAACTGCCAGTTCACCGGACGTTCACTTGCAATTTCAGCACAGATCTTCAGATGTTCAACCTGTAAACATCATTATACATGATAATAGTTAGATGGTATTATTTTAACTTCTAGTCAGAACCTTCCTCTAAATTGTCACACTCTTTTTATTTCAAATCAGTCAAGTCAGTTACCAATATTACTAAGTGCTGCACCACAGATACTTACAATGTTAAGCAGCGTGTCGTATGATAGTATGATGGGGGTAGGTATGTTCTCCGACACAACAAGCCCTCCTTCTCGACACTGGTCCATCACTGTGTGTAGGTGGGACTCCACAGCATAAAGATCTCTCAGCTGGCGGTATTTGTCTTTGGTTCCACAGATAAACAACAGGAGCTGTAACACAAGTCATGAGTAATACTTCTAGTGTTAAACATGTCATTCTTGAACATATAACCTATTGGCTGATATTCATTACTAACTTTTAGAGTAGTAGATGTTACAAGCTCCTGACAGCTATCCACAGACTTAATGACAAGTTAACAGATTCAGCACTGACCTATAGCCCCTCCCATGATTTCAACATAATTCACAAAAATACCTGGACAAAATATGTAATTTTAATCTAATTGAGACAGATATTTATCTAGTATAGAGTTAATGTATAAAGATGTATGCTTTTCATATCAATACACAAGTATTTAACAAAATACTTCATCTTGAACATGGTTAACATCAATGAGAGATAATGACTTACCTTGCGTACTTGTCTTTTGACAAATGGTGTCTGCTGTGTCATCATATACTGCAAAGCAACCAAAACAAATATCATTAAAACAACCAAAACAAATATCATTAAAACATCCTTAACAAATACCATTAAAACATCCTTAACAAATACAATTAAAACATCTTCAGAAATGTAAAGGAAGATCTAACAGACTATTCAAACAATTACTAACTGCTTTCTACACCTAGGATTATTTTCATCAGTAATAAATACGGTAAAATAAAGATTTTGATATCTAGGTTTCTGAAATATAAAAGGACAGCATGTATTGTACGAACCTCGGCCAGTGTTGTATTCCAAACATAGTCGAAGCTGGCAGCTGGTACACTGGTGACGCTGTCAGATATCTTCTTTAGCTGTGTAAGAGAATAGGTCAGTGAGCAGTTAAAAAACTGATAGTAATAAAATGAGAATATACATACTAATATCTAAAAGTACTACAGATTAGATCTCTTATGTAACTTGTACATATTCAATGATGTCTCTACAAATTAAATATGAACAGAAAAACTATGCAACTCAACTAAGCACATCTCCATGTGTTATCTGTAAAATTGAATGCCATGTGCTACCTTTACAACAGAAGCATACTTTGATAATCTCCTTTTGCTACCTGTACTTATCTAAGAGTTACCTGGTATGGCAGTCGCAGAACCATTTCTGTGAGAAGTTGTGGGTAGTCTTCAAACACATCGCTGGCGTGACCTTTGACATACTGTCGCAGGAAGAATGGGGACATGTCTGGGGGTGGATGTGTGGGGTGTGGCTTCAGTAGCTGACCTGTCACAGCACTTCCTTCCTCCTGTTAATGTTTATTAAGACAATTATACAAATAAACATCAGATTAATTTTACAGATAATTATCAGATTGGCTGTGTTTAGTTTTCAAAGAAAACTGACAATGAAACAAAAACAGATACAAAAATTATTTACGATTAATATCAATCTCAACAGGAAGAAAAGGAAACTGGAATGCACCATTTGATGCTGAAATGAACATTTTCATGCAGATGTAAACCTGTCCGAAGGAATTTACACCAACTACTGATTACATGTACAGGATTACTAGCGATACTAGTTGTTGATCTTCTTTTCCAAACTCACCTCTTGAGAGGAGAACTGCTTCCAGAAGGGCAACAAGTTACACAGAATGTTGAGACAGTAAGTGATACCATCACTGGAGATCAGAGCTGTGGCTGATGTGTTGCTGATGAAGGAGGACGAGGTAGATGACTGAAAATTATATAAATGTAATCTAAATGCCTCAAAAACATTATTATATGACCCATTTTATGAAATAATCCATGTACAATTTCACTTGATGTAAAGTTTTACTTGAGCAGCAAAAAGGCCAGTAAGTTTTGAAGTCAGGGAATAGGAAAATGAAAATTCTAACATTATAAATCGTGAAAATACAGCTCGCCCAGTCAACTTTTGTAAACTCTGCCTCTGGGTCAGTAACTAAATCATGGAAATATGTGCTTCAAATAGTTATAGTTATCATCTAAAAACTATTTCTATCTTAAAGGACAATTCATATTCAATCCAAAATATGAGATAACCATTTCTGGTTAGTAAGAAATATGAATCTTCATAATTTTCTATAGTTAAATCATTGCTGTTAACAGCAATATTTTTAACTGAGAATCATATGATGAGCAAAACCTATGTTATATTAAAAGACAATCACCAACTCTTATTATACACAATATATGTTTTAGAGTTAACATCCCCCTTGACAAGATTTAACAGACTTGGCCCTGTGCTCTATTCTCTGACAGATCTACCCTAGTTACCAAACTGTGTCCCATTGTCAGGTTTAACTCTGTGATTTACTTACCTCAGAAGAAGGCTTGGTTCCAGCCTTGGTCCTGGACAACAACACACTTAAAAGTCTCAGCAACACCAGCTTCACCTCGTAGTTTTTACTCCTGCATGACACATTCTCCAGACCCTGGAATATTCCATTAATATAATAGCAACTAGTATTGAAGCATGCTGTCTAACCCTGTAATATATAATAACAGCCCATAGTAATGTATTTTAGCATGATGTCACACCCTATACTACATACTCCCAGTTTGTGATAACGTATCATAGCATGCTGTCTAACCATGTATTACATACTCCCAGTTCGTGATACATATCATAGCATGCTGTCTAACCCTGTAGTACATACTCCCAGTTCATGATAATGTATCGCAGCATGCTGCGTAACCCTGTAGTACATGAGCTGTTTTTGACCTGGTTCACCTAAGTTGATTACTTTACAATTATCAGTCAGATTTCATCTGTTACTTTATCACACAGAAAATGCATGTGCTAATGTTGATAATTACCTGTCCAGAGAGGTCCAATTCTTTGATAAGAGCGGTCAAAACATTGTCAAGTGCAGCTTTGTCCTTCTCATCATCACTGTCCAGGTCAGAGGTCAGCATGAGAAGCACCTGCATGAATGGAATTGCACGGACACCACCCACTTCACGCACTTCCGGTATGTACTGTAGAAGGCGTTCCAGTAGGATCAGGCGTAAGTTGTGTAATCTACAAAAAAAATTATATCACCTATTAGGCTCAGTACATCTTAGTCTGGAAACAACATCCAAAGAATGCTGTGAATTTTGGACAGGAATTCAATGACCTCTTACCTTATACAGAGAAAAAGTTGGCTACCTTATAGTTTGCCTTTGCCTTTGTAAACTCTGGAAATGACTGTTGGGTTTAATATACTGAGGAATACTGGATCTTAAAATACATTCATTAACATAAGAGGAATCCCGGTTCTTAAAATACATTCATTAACATAATAAAGTAAACACAAGGAAATTGAATTGATATAAAAATGATACAGAATACAGCAATTTTAGGTGGACACTTTTATGGTCACAACACAGCACAAACCAACACCACAAGTACATTAAAGTAGAAATATAAAATTCTGTTGTTCTCCACTTTTCACTGTATCTGGAAATTTGTATACCTGACACTTGTGTCATAGTCAGCATCCATTTCTGACCCTTCAGTCTCCTGAGGGAGGGAACCACTGTGCATTCCCACACTACTTGTCTCACTACGGGCACTAAACATGGTGCTCTCCCGGTCCCTCTCTCCGTATGCACTACTTCGTCCACTAGCTAAAACATAAATAAAACAATCATTTAATTTTGATTTTATATCATTTACAATTAGCAACATTAATCATTGTGAATGAAATCCTCCTGACAAGGTAATCATAGTTTGTAAGGAGTTACCTCCCCTGTCAAAACCTCCCCTGAAAAATTCAGTAGTGTTGTTTTGTTGAGAATTACCTCCACTTTCTGAGCCCCCACTGCCTGCATGTTCTGCGGGAGATGTGCGTAGAGTAGAACCATCTGTTGCAGCATTACTGCCAATCTCATCATCACTGCCTGGGGCTGAGGCTGTTGTATCTGACAATGGTCCTTCCTCCAAGGAAATGGCACCCTGCAGTAAGTAAATGCATTTATTAATACAACGGTTCTGATTTCTTGATTGTTCTAATTTTTAATGACATTTATTTTCATGACACATATATGACAATAAGTAATTCATATATCGATAAAAGTTGTTTGTCCTAGACAATAGCTTGATACAATTACTTGTAACTCTGTATAGGCAAAATATTTGCAAACATCTAATGACTTTGACTAGAACTACATACCTGTTGTGACCTGTTCATGCCTAGGCCCTGCAGTCCAAGTCCTCCACTGTGACCAGGCTGTAACAACAGAAGTAAGCATTATCACAACTTTAATTTAAAACAATAATTCATCAAAACAAGATTGTTTTTCCTTTAGTTCCTACTTCTTCATGACCTCAGGTCTTATAAAGGAAATATCAATATATTCTAACATTTTTTGACAAAGTTTTTTACTGCTACAGAAGATACTTCAGTTGACCTTACCTGATCCTGCAGACTAAGAGCAATAGCAAGCTCTACCATTGTCTCATCATCAGCATCTGGGGGAATGTCAACCATGGGAGGGAAGTTTACTCCACCCGCAAACAGGGCTTCAAGTGGTATAGGGCCTCCATGGCCTTGTTCTCCAGGCTCCATCACCATAGGCTCATTGTTCTCCTGGTACAAATCAGGGACAAATATATCACTCATTAGCAAAGCCTTCATACAATGTATGTCTTGACAAGTTACATAAAAACAGGAGACAATGCAATTTGTGTCTAATTTATCTTCCTACTATGAACGTCCCGATAAACATGTTACACAAAGCAGGAATAACACTATCAAATACTACCTACACATCATTTTGTATTTGAAAATTCCCTACTGAAAAACTGCAATATATCTAGGTCAGCGTGCAGACCTTTCTGTTATAGTACAACATGCAGTGTTAACACTTACCACCACCTCAAAGTGATCATCTCCATCCTCATTGTCCTGCTGTTCAGGGACTACTTCCTGCATCGCAGGCTGTACAGCTTGTGCTGGCTTATCTCCCTTGTCATCATCTTCATCGTCATCATCATCCTCATCATCATCTGCTCCCCCTGGAGAGCTACATCTTGGGGGAGAAGGGATACAGACCCGGCGACGGCGATGTCTGGGACGAAGACACCGGATCATGGCTTGCTTACAGGCAAAACTCACCGTCTGGTCCTGTAGAATGAGATATTGTCAAATCTAATTCCCTTTTCTTATCTCAATCTTTCATTGTTTTGTTTCGGTGAATGTGGATCTTGAATATAATCACACATGTCAAATGAACAACAATGTAAGAGAATCACCAAAGTTCCCTAGTGACATTTCAATTTATTCCTGTCACAATACCTACATATGATGATGGGCTTACCTGACAGAGTAGGAGGCGAACATACATCTTGGTGGCCAGAGAGATGTTATCAAACTCACACACAGTGAAGGCATGGATAATTTCTACAAGGGCACCTACAGTTGCATCTACATGACTCAGACCTGTAGATATAAACATAACTGACTTAATTATACTTGGTACATATATACCTGATAGAGGTCTTCCAACAGACAGATCTTGTACGTCACGAGACACTAACATAACTTCTGAGGCAAAGAAATGACACAAAAACATCAATATATAGACTTCTGAGATAAAACTTGCTTACCTGGCAGACAGACAGGAGCTAGCATTGGATTGGGAGGTTTCAGACTGTGTAGTTTCCAGAAGGCCTCCATCAAGTGTGTAACAAAGTGTCCAGTCTCCTTACTGTCCAGCTGGGAAAGGCTGGACATACAATGACCATCAAATTTCTCCTCTCCATCCTCTTGCTCCAGATCAGTGACTTCCAATACTACAAATCATCACAATATGGCCTCAATTATACTGTAGATAAATCTGGATACTTTGAAATATGGCCTCAATTATACCGTAGATAAATCTGGATACTTTGAAATATGGCCTCAATTCTACTGTAGATAAATCTGGATACTTTGAAATATGGCCCCAATTATACTGTAGATAAATCTGGATACTTTGAAATATGGCCTCAATTATACTGTAGATAAATCTGGATACTTTGAAATATGGCCTCAATTATATTATACTGTAGATAAATCTGGATACTTTGAAATATGGCCCCAATTATACTGTAGATAAATCTGGATACTTTGAAATATGGCCTCAATTATACTGTAGATAAATCTGGATACTTTGAAATATGGCCTCAATTATACTGTAGATAAATCTGGATACTTTGAAATATGGCCTCAATTATACTGTAGATAAATCTGGATACTTTGAAATATGGCCTCAATTATACCGTAGATAAATCTGGATACTTTGAAAAATGGCCTCAATTATACCGTAGATAAATCTGGATACTTTGAAATATGGCCTCAATTATACTGTAGATAAATCTGGATACTTTGAAATATGGCCTCAATTATACTGTAGATAAATCTGGATACTTTGAAATATGGCCCCAATTATACTATAGATAAATCTGAATACTTTGAAATATGGCCCCAATTATACTGTAGATAAATCTGGATACTTTGAAATATGGCCTCAATTATACTGTAGATAAATCTGGATACTTTGAAATATGGCCCCAATTATACTGTAGATAAATCTGGATACTTTGAAATGATCTGAACCTTATAAATCATCCACATATAGCACATCTGACATACACTATTCTTACACTTTTTAAAGAGGTATTTTTCAGGTAATTGTTTCAACTGACATGAAACAGGACTCATCCCTGAGGCTGACTTTGACTTAGAGTGAAACTCTCTGTACTTGACTTTGACTGGACTATGAGAACTAACATTCCTCCTAGCTGACTAAGAAAAGTGAACTCTCCTTACTTGACTTTGAGTAGACTATGAGAACTAAAATTCCTCCTAGCTTACTTAGAGTGAACTCTCCTTTACTTGACTTTGAGTAGACTACGAGAACTAACCTTCCTCACTGCTTACTCCTGTGGATCCTTTTTCTGCAAACTTGACAAGGTTGTGTGGTCTGGCTACGGCCACTGATCTGGCAGTGACCAGTAGACGTTGGTATGCCTCTACATCCATGTCACATTCTTCATGCGACAGTAAGGTCATCACATGCACAAGCTCGGCCTGGTCCTTAGGTCAAAAAGTCAACAACAGTATTATTTTAGCTTTATACTACATAGCTATGTCATAGACTCATGAGAGTTTAAAATAGCTTGATCATAGAATCTTCAAAAGATATCACATCAATAGTGATATGTTAATAGCGTTATCTTACCCTTAAAACATTATGGTAATGTAACAACAATATATTAGAGAATGATATAATAACATCATTACACTTTGTATACAATGAGGTCAGATTATTATATCCAAACGAAAATAAAGACTAAAGTCAAATATGTTGACCCATGTATTATGATACTCAGAAACAGAAATGTTATAATACACTGCATACTTTTACCATTAACTAGTCTGACGGTATAATACCTTGTGGTTGTAGTAGGACAGTCTGTTAGGGAACAGTGAAGCCAGGAGAGACTTTGTGTGCTGTTGTACACTGGGAGGTGTCGGCAGAGTCAGCAGACTGGTGGCAATATTCAGGGTCAACTGGTGTAGTGGATCCTACAGCACACAATATTGATAAACTAAGTCCAAATTACCATGGAATGTATAAATATTATCATGGTTATTGTCCTTCTATATATTACACATATCACCCAATTCAAATGACCTCTGTGAGTTATAAAAATCATAATGGTTGATGTCAATTTTGATCAATTTCTCACTCAGTCAATTTAGCAAAGAAAACTAGTACAATGAAATATCTTTCAGAGTTCTTACCTTTTCTTCACACAATGATGAAGCAAAGGCTCCATCTAATACCTCTAGTGCACTCCCGAGCAGTCTGGAAAAGAACAATCATTTGTAAACTGAAACACTAAAAGCAAAGATACGTTTTAGTCCATCATAATCCCAGAGCCAGGATACCAAATGTTCCACACTAAATTTCACACTGATATCCATCTTGTGGATGTGCATATGATAATATTTTTTCTGACATTTTTTCCACTTAAAATATTTACCAAGAATTAAATTCCATGCCAGTTTTCGTGACAAAAATAGTAGAATTATATTCTCCACGAAACCAACAATACAGTATCTCACTCTACAGTTACCTTTGTAAATATGTTTTTACAGGTAAAAATGAATATTTTTTCACATGATGATGGAGGTGTAGAGTAGGTTGAATATGAAGGTTACCTGTCAGCTGATGTTAAAGGTAAGGGAGTGGAGGGTATAGAATCACTGTCACTGTTTGTTATGGCTGTAGTTGATGCCGCAGGTTTGACTCCGGCCTGAGATTCTGGGAATTCATCTACTTCCTCTGGCCAGCCAAATACTTCCTTGGGCTTTACAAAAACCTTGATGGAGTCTACCATGGTCACTCCAGCAGAGTCGGCACTCGCTCCAACTACACAGAAACCAATGATAGTGCTTTATGTATCAATCTTCTATTTACTATATACATCAAACTCTGAATAAATGCCATTATCAGTTGTCAAGTTTATTTTTTCTAAATTGAAATTCATATATCTTCAAAAACACAGAATCTGTTCTCACCAAATAGAGTAAATTTCTTGTCAGCCATAAGGGATTCTTCTCTAGTGAAGGGCAAGTCAAACCAGCGGTACCTGCTGGTGAGGTTAACCTGAAACACACACATACCATCATTATAATCAATTAGTCACAGGTTAATATACAGTGGACAATTCCACACTAATAATTAGTTAGATAAGTAGCTCCTCTGAAATGAAAATACCTCAACATTTTACATGAAACTACTGATGTTTTCCAATGAGAGACTAACATTTCATAACAAGAGGCCCAACGGGCCCACAGTGCTCACCTGGTATATATATATATGTATCAGCCAAATATCATACATTTAGGACTATTAGTTCATGAGTAGATGTCATTTAAAGGTTTTAACAAATTTGACCCCTATGACCTTGAATATAGGTCAAGGTAATTTCTTTTCACAAACACTGTCAGGCTTCATCCTGGGAACATGCCAGCCAAATATCATGCCTCTAGGCCTTTAAGTTCATGGTAAGAAGTCGTTTAAAGATGAGTCGGGCCAGTTGAGCTAAAAATTTATCAAGAGCAACAACAAGCGACTATCCTTTACACTGTTTATATTACTATTACTCCTGTTCTTCACAATCATTGTGGATAATGCCCACAGTTACCACAATCCTGCACTAGTCTGAAACTTTGACATAACCTTTGAAAACCATACCTGCGTTGTTCGTCCAAACACCTCCAGGTAAGAGGGTGCTCTCTGTACATTCTGACTGCCGACCAGGACACGACAACCCACCATCACATTGGCTGTATTGGTGTTATTTACTTCAATGTTAAATCCGGCCGGCTAAAAATAAATGACATTTGACCCCGATAATGCATGGCTCAGAAGAACAGATGAAGCACTTCATAAATACTACATTTCAATTAAGATTTATTTAAAATTTGTCAATAATAATAATAACTAATCACCCTTCTTCTTTTATAACTCATTTTGCACAAAAAAAAAACTATCCTCCAGATAAATAATCTGCTGAGAAGGGTATTAAATATTTATCTTTATTTTCAGCATCCCACACATAAACAATCCTGTATCAACAGCGATAAGTGTTGCTGATTACTCACTTTGGTGCTAGCCACATACATGCCGGTTGTGTTGAGTCTGTGTTTCACCTGCTGGGTGTTATACACCTGTAGAAGGTCATTACCACCAAACTGGAAGGCAAGTGACATAACTGAAACATAGTCTCTATATTAAGGTTAAAATCAAGGTCAACAATGATCAATTTGTTTTTTTTCAGTCTAGTTGCTTCAAACTATTTCATTACAAAATTTGTTTCTATAAAAAATCAATTATAATTCTATGGAGTCTAAAGACAAACCTCTATATCGCCGTTCTGCTGGCAATGCTCAAAAAAGTCTATGGGGAAAGACACAGAGCCGACTGGTCTTCCTGTAACACAACACAACATACATATATAGCTAATGACCATACAGACAGGAATTGTGTCAAGTTTTTACTGCATAATCCAAGGTGTTAGTAAAATACTTAATATTACAAACTGTAGTACTACATCAGTCAACCAAAGGACCATGTTACTATAGGGAATCATAAGTGCTTCAATGTCACAAATGTGTTACATAAATAAATCTCAAGATTTACAATGAAAAAGACACTCCTTGGAGATGTATTACTTAGTATTTCATCAACGCTGTTAGGTTATATACCTGTTCTGCTGCTCTTCCTCTTCTTGGCAGGTTTGAGCACTGCGATGGGTGACTGGGGCTGGAGATACGGGGACAGCCAGAAGCTGGTGCTGTCTACATTAGCCATGTAGATCCTTAAGGAGCCGTCCTCACACAACAAGATCATTGTTGTCCTTTGTTGCTGTAACACAGACACATGAAAACTTGTTTATGAGTTTGGTGTAAACAATGATTAAATAAACAGGCAGATAAAAGTGATATTTTTCACATCAAAGCCTCAAATTACAGAAATATTTGCTTTTAGAAAGTTTACATTTATCAAAAATTTGACAGTACATCTCAAGGTCAGCAAATCGATATATCCTTTTCTGTAAGATTTTATCTGAATTAAGAAAAATAAACTACAGACCTGATCTGAATTGGAAGCAGAGTGGCGGATGGCAACTACATCTTGGATCTGTAAAAAAAATATCAGTTAAAGATATATAGGGTGACCACCAATATGTCAACTCTTCTGAAACCCAACTTTCTACAAATTACAAGTGATGTTTATGGAAAATGATATATCAGATATACTAATATAATAAGAATCAGAAATGAACTTTTTTTACTAATACAGCACACACAAAGACATACTGATATGCTTACTAATACAATAGGTTTGTATCATTGCTGGTGTACTGACCTTAGCCTTGGCAGGCACAACCTTAATCTCCTGTGCCTGGATGATATCTGGTTTGATCATGAGGACGACTGGATTGTTGGAGGTCTGGGTCATACAGTACATGAGACCTGTGTGTCCTGGGATCTCTGACCACTGGACCAGAGGCTGACCATTGTTACCTCCCTTTCCTCCACCATTACTGCAATAAGTGATAGTTGTTTATTTGGTTTAGTTTAAAACAATGAATGCCCTCAACATAAATGACAAGTTATAGAAGGATGATAGGTATGTATGATGAAGCTTAATTCGTTATTTGGCTTTAATGTATCTACTTCTAAATTTGTGTTGAATGATGCTGTTGGCTTTAAACACTTTCCTACCTAATTTAGGAAACAGAATATGATATGCCTGACTGTTCTGGGGATTTATATGATAATGGCTGAATATGATGGACCTTGAACTGTTTGCCAGATGTAACCTTGTGTTGGTTTCAGCAATGGAGAGAGGTGACTTACCTTTTGATAGCAATAGGGAACAGGAGAGGGTCCTCGGTTATGTAGGTTGCAAAACTCTTCCCTACAACCAGAAATTAGAACTGTGATTCTCCATGTTCTAGTTTTCATGAAAAGGATTCAAACTATTGACCACTGGTATCTATATGTCTCATAAAATTTCATGCACATATCACCAATTTTATGGATCATAGATCTGACTCATGGATACTGTAACATTATAAACGACAGAGGGACTCACTAATTCACTGACATTCTGATGCAGAAAATAAATGTAAAAGACTTAAAAAAATTAACCATCCTTACCTTGGGTGTAGCTGAAGAAGAGAAGCTGAAGTGAGTGTGAGTAGTAGACAGACACGCCCCCTCCAGCAATCTGACCATTACTCTCCTGTAAAACAAATACAAAGAATCAAATCATCCACTGAACTCATATAATATGATAATGAATATTTTTGTTTGAAACAGTTCTTGATTTTCACATATATCTAATACTAGAAAATGTGATGGAATATGAACGTTACACTTAATATGATGAAATTACTTCCAGACTTGAAGAGCAGGGTTATTTAATCTGCAGCTCATTCATTTATACCTGTGTTTTGTCATATTATTTTCACCATTTAGGAGAAGGAATTAAAATTTTATGTTACTCAATTCACCAGTAGCATATCTTCAGTGCAATCTTAATAGCACAAAACCTGTCTCATGGTACTCGTGTCATTGTTTTCCAATGCTGGGTTAAGTTCTTGCTCAAAAACCTGTCACATGATATTTGTGTCATTATTTGACTAAGTTAGGTTAAAGAACTTTCTCAACATTCAGTGGATTAAAATCTCACTCCATCACTTTTTGTTTACCTTGAGGTCAGGGTGCTGGACTTCTAGTACATTGGTGATATAGAAAGGACCATGTTTAGCACTACTGCTGTCTTCCATCTGTTGGGTGTACACATAGCCAGTGGACGACATCAGTACAATTTGACGTCCTTCCTCAGAGAAGATGAAGGTCGCATCACGAATCTTACCACTTGGCAGGAGGAAGAAGTACTGTGGACTGAGTGCATCGGTTCCGAGGTCGTAAATCTGTAATAGACAGGAAGAGTTCAATGAACAAACTTACAGAAACAGAGCTTTTACATACAGTTTTGAATGTCTGCTAAGTGACAGGTCCTTGGTTTAAAAAAAGAGCTACAGCTAAATGTATACAAATTACCATAAGTTACTCCCAGCATTTACTCAAGGTATGGGTTGTAATTAAATCTATTAATTAAGTTTCTGTAAACAATTGATATTTTATGCATACATCTAGGAAATTGTGAAAGGGTGTAAACAAATGTCAATGTTACAATTCTAACTGTTTAATTTAACTGTGTTCCAATATGAAACAAGATCACCATTTGCGAAAATTCCAAAAAAACAATTTCATCGTGTGCTGCAGTCTAGATGCTAACTGTGAATAATACAGAATTTGATTAACTAATTTGATCAAATATGCTAAAAAAAACCATGAAAAAGGTCTTAATAGATAGACAATTAACCAGTATTACTTAACACTGGAAATATTACATGAGTTTTATACAGGTGATGATAACAAAGGTTGCTTACCTTGACAAAGTCTGCTGTGACAATAGCCAGTTCAGTCTGGGTTCCTGGTAGCCACACAACCTAAAAATAAAACTTTAATGTATATATACTGTTTAAACTAGAGTTATGATAATGCTATTACTACCAAGGGTTGCACATTTGAGAAACAGCCAACATGCTAGATGACATTTCAGTGTGGAGATAAAGTGTTTGGTTATTTAAGGAGCAGCAAACTAACCTTGATGATGAAGTTGCCAGTTGGTAGTGTTGGGTGTAGAACAAGGTGATCAGCTACTGATCCAGAACTGTTGAAGGTCAATACATGACAGTCCTACAAAGTGAAAGTAGCCACATCAACTGTAATTCTAATTCTCAAACCAGTTAACCATGGTTTATATATTCACTAAAACATATCAATATATGCCCACAAAAATAAAGTACTATATTGTCATAAAAATACTCAGGCAGGCATCTTTTTGATGTCAGTACAATACTTCGAAACAGCACAACATTGAGATTATTACCTTGAGCCCACAGACGGCCAGGAAGTCCTCGTTACAGGGATTACCAGTGATGGACAGGACGGTGAAGGGGATTGGTGCTGATGCCAACCTCTGCAATAGATGAACATTTTGGCTTAAATCATTCTTTAGAACCAGCAGATACAAAGCATTTTCATCTGACTGTCACAGAGACAAAATGTTATTTTAAACCTTTCTTTAGTATCTAATTGACAAATAATTCATAGAATAAGTATCAGAGTGTACTGTGAGTTTTGTAGTCTACTGCTTACACACAGTTTTCCCATGTGAATGTTTTAGGGTATATACTAACTGATAGATGTAGCAAAAACTTTCACAAATTTGTATTTAAGTTTTTATAACACAACCAGTAAAAGAAATCAAATCTTCTGATTATGTTTTAAGAACTTTTATTCTACTGACATAATCAACTTGTAGTATTAGTCTTGCCCAAGAATGAACTGGGAATGAGCAAGCAAAATCTACATCAACTTACAGTGAGAGTCAGTTTCTTTTTACTGGAGTCGGCCTGCTTGAGGAGTGCTGAGAGCTGCAAAATTGTGATCTTTCCTTTTTCGTGACTAACAGCCAGATGTTGTCGCTTGCCGTGCGGGGATGCCAGTACACACATGGCTACACGACGGAGCATGTGAGCCGAGATTAGCTGACGTATTTGCTGACCCTGGTCACCACTATAGTTCATACGGACATTCTCAAAGGCTCCCTCCTGTGATCCTAATGTTACCGTCTGTAAAATTAGTTACAGCTGTATTACAAAACAACAGTGCATGTGTGACAAGATCACTAATTGTAATGTCTACAGGGTACCTACCCTTGTTCATATAAAGATTATGTTTGTAATGTGATGAATAGATTTAATGTCTGTGATCTCTGAGTATTTGGCAGTGCTATGTGCAGTGAAATCCGAGTTCTGTTCATTGTTAAGCGATCTTTGATTCATGGGGATATGAATAGTATTTATGTATGGATGTGGATATTTATTGGTATCAACAATAAAATATAAGTCATAAGATTATATAACTACAGAGGTTTATGGGGGACATACCATAAGCTGTTCAGTGGTCTCTGTGGTCTTGGGTAGAGTGTGAAGTTCATGGAGTGCCTTCTGGGCCCGCTGGGTACTGCCCATGGGAGACACTCTCTGGTAGCTGTCTGTCAGTGTAGGGAGGATGGTCTCCAGCATGTTAAGTATTGTCTTCACGGTGTTGGAGGATTCCTGGTACAAAGAATAAACCTAGTTACCAACACTTCTACTGTAATTCATTGTAAAAACCATCTACAGAATCTTTCTAAATCTAATCACAAGTATATGCTTTTTCACTATCTATTACTGTCATTCAAAGAAACTTTTACTTTATGTTTCTGCTGAAAGACCATTAAAATGTTCATTCTATATTCTCTGTGAAATTTAACATGACAATTTTTTCCACAAAATTATTATGAAACTTTATTTGTTGTGTAATTCAAAAAGAATGTGACACTGGGTTTTAAATTAAGTTAGTTTGAATTCAGCTTGCATCTAAACACCATACTAATGTAAATGTATTCCTTAAATACCCACCACATGCTGTAAAAGGGCATCCCTGCTCCCCTCAACTTGACGACTCAGAGCCTCTCGTGCTTTGTTCACTTGTTCAGCCATTTTGTTTACATCTGTTTGTTTCTCCAATGGACTCGGAGAAGACATGCGACGCCGGAGACTGCTGGGAAGCATGGTTTCCATGGAGAATGGTGAAGCTCCTGCTAGGTTGTCTAGACTGTCCAATCCACTCTGGACAGAACGCTTGACCAGAGACTGGACACCAAACACAGATATTAATATACATTATACAACATATATCATGTTTTTCTTTCTTTTTTTTTTTTTTTGCCACAAGCAGAACACTAACTACTCAAATTATAATGTAATTGTATTTCGTATATATCAAAATGTAATCTTATTTAAATTTGAACTAGACTGATTAAAAACATTTGTCATGATTAAGTTTTCAATTGATGAAAAAAAACCTACCTTGCAGGAGCCATCCTCCTTGGCTCCACAATCACAGAAGAAGGATCCAAACTTAGCATAGGTCAGGTCATGTTCTTTATGGCAGACTTTGGCACAAACTGTACATACCCCTACACCATCCACCATCTTACAGGTGTGGCAGTGGTACCTAGAACACAGTAAGTATAAGCTAAAATATATACTGTACTTGGTGTAACTACAATGTAATAGTAAAGGATATTTTCCTCAATGTGAATAACGATTCAGATAATTCTATGAAAAACTAATAATTAGGTGGGTATGTGAGTTTTTCCTCAAAACCACAAAACTATCTTCTTGTATCGACAGAGACCTAGCATCTGATGGTGTTGGCAGTGGCGGTGCAAGATCACCAAGTATTTATATGTACACTATTGAAAACATATAATTTTGAATAAAGTTTGGGGATTAGGTGTGAATAGATGATGATGAGGCAAAACACTAATAATAATAAACAGCTCTGTTGTTGATCAGTGTATGATGTGATAATGAGGATGAAAGGTTGATGATGAAGTGGTGATGATGATATGATGATTACAATGCTGAATATGTGTTACTGCTGATGATGATATGATAGTGATGATGATGATGACGATATGGTGATGATCATGATAATGAAGTGATGATGATACGATGATCATGATGATAACTATGTGATGATGATGACGACGACGATGATGACGATGATGATGATGACGATGATGATGATGATGATGATGATGATGATGATGATGATGATGATGACGATGACGATGATGATGATGATGACGATGACGATGATGATGACGATGATGATGATGATGATGACGATGATGATGATGACGACGACGACGACGACGATGACGGCGACGACGACGACGACGATGATGATGATGATGATGATGACAGCAGTCACTGAGTTTGTATTATTATTGGGGCGTGTGAATGAAACACAGTAGTACATTGTATGTCATGTCAGCAAAGAGGAAAGAGTAGGAAATAATGAGTGCATGTTTTGAGTGAGTGTACATGGGTGTAGTGTGATGTGTGCTAGGGTGTGTATGTATGTGAGTCTAGTATATATCGTGTGTTGCATACCTTTGTAAAATCTTGAAAAACAAAAAAAACAAAAAAAGTTTGTATATGTAATGACCTACCAGTGCAGGATCATTCAGTTTATATATATGGAGACCTACCAGTACTGATTTACTGAGTTTTTATTTGAGTGACCTACCTGTGCAGAATTATTTAGTTTTTATACGTGGTATTGTAGCTGTACTGGACCATTGAGTTTTTATATATGGTATCTTATCAGTGCAGCAGGACCATAAAGTTTGTATATGTAATGACCTACCAGTGCTGGTTCATGAATTCCTTCTGTGTGACAGTAAATGTACACAACTTGTTATTGAGTGATTCCTCATCCTACAACAAAAAGTGACACCATTAAATATGAAAATTTTTGGTTGATTATCCATCGCCTCATTAAAATGAAAATAGCATGACTGAGATTCAAACAAATGTTTTTCAGCTAAAATTTGGTAAAATATTCACTGCAAATTGCTGAGCATTTCTATCAATAAAACTTCCTGAAGCTTTCAAATTTTAATATCAAGAAAACAATAATATGATGCATTTCCTTTAAAATGTCCCTATCTTTTGTATGGGTTGATTCCATTGATTCCTAAAACAAATGTGCTTCAAATGATTGACCTATTTTACAAGTTCCTGTCACCTGAACCACATTTGGCTGTACTTACCGAGTCCTCGCCTCCAGAATCCTCGTCTTCCTGAGTCAGGTCCTCTATCCAGTCTATATCTCCTTCCTATAATGTGTTAAATATCAAGTCATTTCAGGATTAGAATTGATGGTAAAGATTTACTAGTTCTAAAACACTCTTAGACAACAAAAAATTTATATTTGAATATCATGGATAATTTGAAATAGCTTTTAAAAACAACTATTTGTAAAACAGAACTATTATAATAATATAACAGAGCAGGAGAGTTATTCTACAAAGATTTTAATTACTTGAAAATCATACTATCAACTACAACAATTTTACCTGTGTTACTGTCATATCACTGTCCACAGGAGGAGACAGAACACCACTTCTGGAAAACAAGTCAAAGTTATTACAGTAAGCTGATAAATAACATTTCATTCACAGGTAAATTTAACTCATGACAAGGAAATCATCTGTACATTCTATCAAAAGTCATATTTTACTACCTCTATTAATTTTCTTCCAAATATAGTCCATCCCTTTCTCTCACTTTTGAAATTATTTACAAGTTTTTCCTCATTTCATGGTATGTATTAAGAAGGATTATAAAAAATCCAAATCAGACTAAAGTTCAGAGATCAAATTAATTAACAAATCAAATATTAGATAAATTTTATTACTTCTCTGAGCTTCTCTTGAGAGCCCCGAGGATTTCTCCGATGTAGGACAGCAGACAGCATAAGGTGTCCAATATAGGCTGTAACACAAAGGAAATATCAACTTAAAACATTGTATATCAATATTACCTATCATTAGCAGTAAAACATTGTGTATCAATATTACCTATCATTAGAAGTAAAACATTGTGTATCAATATTACCTATCATTAGAAGTAAAACATTGTATATCAATATTACCTATCATTAGTAAAACATTGTGTATCAATATTACCTATCATTAGAAGTAAAACATTGTGTATCAATATTACCTATCATTAGAAGTAAAACATTGTATATCAATATTACCTATCATTAGCAGTAAAACATTGTGTATCAATATTACCTATCATTAGAAGTAAAACATTGTATATCAATATTACCTATCATTAGAAGTAAAACATTGTGTATCAATATCGTCTATCATTAGAAGTAAAACATTGTGTATCAATATTACCTATCATTAGAAGTAAAACATTGTGTATCAATATTACCTAACATTAGAAGTAAAACATTGTATATCAATATTACCTATCATAAGAAGTAAAACATTGTGTATCAATATTACCTATCATTAGAAGTAAAACATTGTATATCAATATTACCTATCATTAAGAAGTAAAACATTGTATATCAATATTACCTATCATTAGAAGTAAAACATTGTATATCAATATTACCTATCATTAGAAGTAAAACATTGTATATCAATATTACCTATCATTATCAATATTACCAATATTACCTATCATTAGAAGTAAAACATTGTATATCAATATTACCTATCATTAGAAGTAAAACATTGTATCAATAAAACATTGTGTATCAATATTATGTACCATTAGAAGTAAAATATTGTATATCAATATTACCTATCATTAGAAGTAAAACATTGTATATCAATATTACCTACCATTAATAGCTTGTATGGTTACTTCAAAATCAAAGCTATTCTAGCCCAGTAAGTCCCAAAAGAACAGAACTAAATGATTAAACACAAAAATATAAGTGTACCCAAAGTCAATATCATGTAACAAATATTCCATGACTTGTGTAACTACGATGTGATCTTACAACGTGTTTACCTTGTTGGTTTGTCCATTTTCTGTAGTGATCTTTTCCAATACCTCTTTTTTGTTCAAAAAGACCGTACTGCAATACCAAAATGCAGAATATCAAATCAAACAGATTGTATTAGTGGTAAAATAGAATCTGTTAAATCTTTGTAAATTATAACATACAATCCAGGCTGTAATGAATATAAAATATTTCCTAAAATCAGTTAAAATCTTAATTTTAAACAAACATGAATGTGGATAACATAAACGAAAGTAAGACAATTAACATGTTAACCTACCATTGGTCAAGCCATCCAGTAGCAGCCTGAAACAGCATGCTGTGTCCACTACCTTGACCAGCTCCAGCCAATGTGTGCATGACCATCATCAGTTCCGGGAATCCTGCAGTCTCTCTGTCTGATCCCGTCAGTAGCATTCCACCCAAGGGAATCAGGGAACAAAGAATGGACAAGGGCACCTTCTCACTCACAAGGCTAAAACACAGCACAAACCAGTATATCAGATCAGAGCTACATTTTACAACTTTATTAGCTAATGCTTTCAAACTGCTACAATACAATCCATACCAGGCATACAGTCTATGAAATGCCAGTTACATAGAACTATATAGATATAGGGACTTCTTAAATATCATAGTACAATTTATTTCACCAAATGGTCAAACATGTAATTCAAGTTTGATGATCTGGAACAATATATAGTGTCCAATGAAATCTTATGTTAACATAGCCTTTTAATTAGTGAGATGAGAAAAAAAGTAATTATTCTTTGGTTCCACAAAAACTGAATCAATTTTACACAGACTGAAATATCTATTCTATTAAACAAAATAATAATATTTGAGCAATAATGATAAGTTTATAATGTCAAAAAGTCTTTGTACAGTTTTAGAGTAGTTTTACCTGTTTGGTTTCACAAGATACATAGTAATTGTCCGAAGTAGCATTCTGTTTTCTTTCAAGGTGTTCTCATCCTCCTGATCCTACATCAAACAAAAATCATGTTGAGTTATCAGGTAACACATAATGCTGTATTCACCTGTCAGATATCTCATAACACTAACACTCCTGGCTCTGATAAACCCATTCATGTAAACCATTGGCTTGGCTTGCAATGGTCAAAATAAAGTCTTATATAATGTAGAGGTAGGTAAAGGATAGGCTTGTCATAAGCATTATTCTGCACATAATATTTATATATATAAGTTCAGGCAATATCTCCTAAAAAGAATTTGTTTACAACTTTTTCTCTTAGTTTTCAAAGTAACAAAATAATTGAAGGGTCCATGGTATCTATTAGCATTTCTGTAAAACAGTTAACAAGAAAGATAAAACTATGAAAATGACCAATGTTAGAAAAACTCTGGCCTAGGTTTATAGATTATTAAGGGTCTTTTTACCTCTGATGGGAGTATCATCTTAGACAGGTTCATCTGTGCTAGACTTGACAGTGATCCACATCGTAAATCATAATATCTGTCACCACTCTTGTCCGCTGTTGATCAGATGAAACCCAAAGTAACAAATACATTCACTAAACTTGGTACTTAATACCAGAATCTGCTGCAGAGTTAGATGTATACTTATAACACCTACATAACTATATAAAGATGTATGGAATAACTATAAGTACAAAGCAAATAATAATGATGTCGAAGAGATTTCTCTTCAAATTTTTTTTTAGTTGAAAAGAAAATAATTGAACAAAGAGTTAGCCTACTTGCTATTGACCAGTTTGCTCAGTCTTACCCAGCTGAAACATCTTGCTGAGAAGTCGCAATATCCTCGTGGAGTACTGAGATGTCAGATTTTCCTTGGAAGCAGATAACACCAGCTGGGTCAAATCTAAATTAAAACCATATTAAACTTAGAGCCTGGTACATATTTATCAGTTTGGTCCTGATATAACCTAATATGGCTATATCTCATTATCAAGTAAGTTGTGATGTACCCAGTATAACCTGCTCACATGTCACTATCAGATCGGTTGTGACATACTCAGTATATCTACTGATAAGTTCCCCCAACACTGATATTTCACTTGTCAGTTCCACAGTAATTTGCCCAGTATGTCAACTGTCAGTTCAGATTTGATATACTCATTATATCCACTTTTTAATTCAGTCTTAACATACATTGTATCTATACATAATATTAATTAATTACAAGTTAGTGTACGCTAAAAACATCCAATGGAATAGAAATAAAACCTCTCATTCATTGAAGGAGACTCGATGAGAAACCAGAATCTTTTTCAAACTAGAAAATGTCTATAAGAAATGAATGCCCCCGCCCCCCCCCCCCCCCCCCATGTGAAATAATAGTGAAAGGTCCGAAAGAGATGATTTTGTTAATTTGTATGCAACTATGTACAACTTAAGTTTCATACTGAAATTGACAAGTTGATTTAACGTACATGAATTTGGAATTTTGTTCTCTGGAAAAAATGAGGGAGTATATCAGTTCCTTATGCCTTAAAACCCACAAGTACCAAATTATGTAGGAATAAGATGATGTTCCTCTTTTTTGAGTTATCTCCCCCTGGTGGCCATCTTTTTTTAGAATGCCGAGAAATTCAACACTGCATGAGGTCTTTCCATACTTGATATTTGTATTAAGTTTCATGAAAATTGCTTTCCGAATGAAGTTGTTAGGTGGTATATACTGATTTGGGACGGGACGGGACGGGACGGATGGATATGGGCAACGCTATATGCCCCCGGCCATAAATGGCGGGGGCATAAAAATATAGTAACTTTACAGCCTTTCATACCAATGCTTATTGCAAAATTTATTAAGAATTTTCTAATATTTGTAATATGTTCATCAGTGTATCAATACTAGAGTATTCCCCTGCAGACTCAGTGAAGAACTGCTAACATTTACCTGCCGACTCTGTGTAAAACTTGTAGAATGCCTTGCGTTCTGGCTCCTTCTCCAGGTGATTCTCCATAAACTTCAGACAATCAAGGAAAACTTTTTCCTCTAGGCCAGTCTCTGGCTCTGACAGGTTCACACACAGGTCATGACAAACAGAAAATGCATGGTGGAATGTTTTCTCCACAAATTCATCTCCGTCGATAGGTCCAAGGAACCGTTCGAGGGATTGGGAAACCTAATAATTAGAAATATGACATAATTGGAGAAAATGGTACGACGATTATAAGATAATGACATCATCTGTCCTTCTAGAACAAACATACCATATCAACAGTTTTTAGATACTGAACAAGTAAGAAACATTATGACATTTCTATAGTTTTGGTAAATATAGTTTTTACTGATAAAACATCAGGTGGTTTACGTTACAAGACCTAATCCATTTACGTTATCATTGCTGATGACAATAAATGATAACCGAGAGGTATATTATGGATAACAAGCACAACCTAAACATTTAAATGACTGGAGTGTGATTATTTACCATATCAGCAAGGTAGGCTGTGGATGCATCAAGTGTGAAGGGAAACATGACTCGAATCATTTCCTTACTGCTGGCTGTGTCCGGGCACCATCTGTATGTCACAGTTCATGTTAAATCAATAGTAAAGTATATCTTACAAACTTACATTTAAGTCTGATTTTGAATATCCTTAATCTTAAATCTGTAGACAACAAAACTGGTGTTATACAATTAAGGAGATAACTTTACAATCACTGACTACTCTAATAACAACAATATATCTTTAGTCACATGATCACTTCCTTAAACTTGATTGTAGCTTCAGACATGTCTGTAAAACAAGAATGACTCCATTCCCATGCATGTGACCTTTGACCCTTTAACCTTAAATTATGATGACCTTAGTACAATAAGGTGTAAAACTTGACATTATGATACTATTGGATTAATTTTAATCAAAGCTGAGTATTTTAAGATATGACATTGACTTGGAATGGAATACAACTGGATGGGACAGGACACAACAGGGCTGGACAACGGACATGTTGAGAATATTGTAGGACACAAAAAGGCTGGACGAACAGATATGGGGAGAATATTGTATGCCTCCCTCCAATCAAATGATGTAAGCTTACAATTACAAAGTTTACTTACATGACTAGGTCAGAGGCGAATTTGACCAATGCCATGAGGACATGTTTCAGGGAAGCATTGATGCTGAATACTGGCTCCACTGTAACACAAGTTAGATAAATGTGTCACAATTAATGTACGTTTTTTCACTTACATCACACATGCACTTACTTTCCTAACTTCAAGTATACATTTACTTGATTTTAAGTCATACAGATGTGTACATTGTACATTGTCAATTAGCAATGACAAGGTCAAATTTTCCAATTTTTTTATTTTGATAATCAGATACCAAACTTTACCTTAAAATAACTGAGCAAAGATTTGTGAGAGATATTTCTCAGTAATGGATATACCTAACCTATGGTTTATTGTACTTACTGGACAGTGTACCAGTGTGGGCTGTCAGAATGGCATCTATGTAGCTTTCTGCTGGTAAAATGTCATTGGAAAAGTCACTTTTCTGAAATACAAACAAACTTGACATACATAATTAATTCAGATAGCTATGGTATAGATATGAAAATTAGTTATGTTATGTTTAGTAATTTAGAAACACTTGTAAGATTTAAGACCTCCCCTAAAGGACTCATTCTAAAAATATTTTCGTACTCACACAAGCTCCTCTACTAGAAATCTCAATGTAAGAATATTTATCCAGGGTTTTCTTGTCTGCTAGGCAATTCATTGCAAGAATATTTACCCAGTCTCTGTTGATCGATAACTAATTGTTAGAATGTTTACCCAGAATCCTCTCCTAGGCAACCCATTGTTAGAATGTTTACCTATGCTCCCTTTCTGGGCAACTCATTTAAGGTTATGTGAACCTTATATATAAAACTTTCAAAAATTAGACTTGATTATCAATCAAACATTTTCTAACCATGAAATATCTGAAGTTTTAAGCAAGGATACTCTTGTGGCATATTAATAACCACAATCCTCTTTCCAGGGAAATTGACCATTCTCATATACTTAAAAAACCTATTTTGAATTACGCTAGTTTGATGACAGTATTCCCCAGAGTGTACTGAAAGAACACTTTTCTGACTTGCTGGGAAACTCATTGTGAGTACTTAAGATACACTGTTTCACTTACCCAGGCCCCTGTGCTTGGAAATTCATTGTGAGTGCTGGAGGACCACTTAACATCTATGGCTAGAGAGATGGGGCGAGGCAAGGTGCCCATGATCTCAGCGCCCAGGACAGAGACCTTGGAAGGAGAACTGGAGCCTAGACTCATTACAGTACCATACCCTTCAAGCTGGCGTGGTGTCAGCACCATCTCACTGTCCTCGTCCAGTTTCAGCTGGTGTAGGATGCATGATCTGAAATAAGTATATCATCACATCAGACCACAGCTTAAATAGCAGTTTCAGGGTTATTATATTGTATCTATATATCATCATTCTGGTCTAGTTTTTGGTGTACAGAGTGTGAATATCGTTTGTAGATATTGAATGTTATTACTGACCTCACATAAACACTATAGGTCTCAAGCTGAAGCAGTGTGGCTGGGATCAGGTCTAGGGCAATCTCCATAGCTTTGCGGGGATCTATGTCTCCCTGATAATGAAATGCATATTATGAAAGTGATGACTATGTTTGATGGTAACATCCAAATTTACGACACAACTCAGAGTTAAATTAGTATGTTATAAAAATCATATCACAATGTATAGTCTACAGTCATTTCTGCTGTCAAATCAGTGTTTATACTACAGAATACAAATATACAGCCAAAAAAAAAGTTGATGTAGATTTCATTAATATCAATGCATGGCAATACTTTTTATTATAATTATCAACATTGAACATTTCTTAAACTTTGAATGAATGCTGTAGAATTGTAAAAGAAGATAATCTACATATTTAGGTCTGAGAGTTCCTCCATATGGGTCGTCTTTATTTACCATAGCCTTGGTGAATGTTTCCTCAAGGGACACCTGTGTCTTAGCAATGACTGCATCTAGTAACATGACAGAAGTCAAGCCAGGTAGATCTGTAGGTCCAATGATTTCCTTCTGGCTGATCAGCAACATGGCATTTACCTGTTGCAAGTAGAACGGCAAGATAATGATAATTTCATCAAGAATGGTAGAATGCAAACTGAAATCTTTTTAAAGTTAATTTTAAGATAAATTTTACTACACTACACTGGATTTAACAGTGGCATTTTTATATCCTTGCCTGTTGAATTATATATAGCACCTCACCTGCGACAAGAAATTTTGTTTAATTCATACAATGGCTTCTCCTAGTAAACAGTTCTTGTATCATATTTGTGTCCCACATCACTTTTGCTTATACAACATGTAAATGTAGTTGTTACATTTATCTCTGGATTTACTTGAGCTTTGACAGCTTGTCTGGTACACAAACATATTATCCATTATATTAAGGTCTTCGTTCGTTAACTCTAGTTTAAGGTTGATGATGCATAAGTCACTAATATCAGGTACAACTTCTGCATCAGCATGACAGAGAGAAGTGACTTACATTGAAGTTCATTGCAAGGCGGATATCATAGTTGACATTGTTGGCGACCTTGTTAGCACTAGTCAGCAGGGTCTCGGATTGCTGTGTGGTCAATCCCTGCTTCACCAGATAATCCTATCAAAGAAAAAGACTCCATGACAGAAAACATACAATAAAATCAGTAACAATGAACTTCTACCGAATATAACAAGATAATACGTAATTCAAAAGTTCTAAATCAGTGATGAGCTGTCATCATAAAACAGGCTATGTGTACATCATTGACACCCAAATTTGTATAAACTGCACAGTGCAAGTTACCTTCATCCAACCACTGAAGACCTTGTGTCCAAGTCTGGAAACCCATCGTAAGGTGTGTAAAATGTGTCCATTGGACATGTCCAGCTCGCCGCTCTCAAGCATACGGAGATAATGTATAGAAGGGGGCAGGCATGCCAATAGTCTCCAACAAATATGGAAGTGATAGTGCAGAGCTGAAGCATCCTTTGTAAGAAAACAAATCATCCAGATTAACCAACCTATATATATATCATCCATTAGTCAAGTTACAGCTGTAAACAATAAGAAGTTATACCTAATAAAAACACTGAGCAATTTGTAAAAAATTTTATTCAATTCATTAAATTGAGAGAAGACAGAAGACAATATCAAAGATAGGATTCAGCATCTAGTTTAAAATGATCTTAAGATGACGTGGAATATCTCAACTTCACAAAATATATACATTTATCTTCTGCTTTTCTGAAGCAGTACTGACCAGGATGGAGAGTTTGCCCCTGACTTTGTCACACTTGGAGCCCACCATCAGTAGAGAGATACAGGCATCATACAGCTGGTTATAGTTGACCACATCAGCACTGGACAGCAGGAAACTGCATGCCTATTGACAAACCACACTACGTGATATCACTTATCTCACTTAGATCTTTTAAACAAAATAAGCTGCATAAAACATACGTACTGTCATATCACTTAACTTAATACTCTTAGGCTTTAAATACTGTAGTTTCATAGCTTTTAATACTTTAATAGTGTATAATGCTGAATTTGTTATACTGGTACACCTTTCTCTGAGTCAATACCTTGTTTTTACAAACTAGTAACAATATTCAAAATCCTTTATGCAAGTAAAAAGGACCATGTGATATGAAGGAGTACTTACCAGTCCATCTACCCTGGGGGTCTCCTGGGAATTGACAATGACTGGTCCAAGATTGTAAAATCGTGGTCTCTGTATGCCTGTGGATAGAAAGTTATTTTAGATTATGAGTATTTAAATAAATCAATGGGATCATGAAGTCTAGAGTCAAATTACAACGGAGAATAGATAATTCTATTACATATTCATAAGTAATAATTAAATCCAAATTATACAAACAAATCAAATTCTGATTTACAATTCAAAGGAAACCAGTTACATGTATGGGATACTTTCTATTATTAGTAAATCTGTATATGTAACAGAGGTCTTTATTTATTTCAATGCCTTCGCTAGGATTTGAACCCGAGACATCTGGCTTACTAGCCTCACACTTAACGGATCAAGCTAAAGAGAAGTTCTCTCAAGCCGAGTGATGTTTTGTGAGTAGTATTTTACCCGGGTTACATATATATCTATTGCAGCTAAGTGATCATAAAGTACATCATTAAAAGTGTGGATCTAAATGCTTTATCTCTGCAGCATTCCAAAACTTACACAGTAATTCAGGTTTTAAACTTTGGTAGAATCATTCATGTTAAAATCGATATTCTGCATTTCACCTAGGCTAGATAATGCAACATAGAGAATCTTATGATTATATTTCCAGCAGGAAAGTCAGCTAGAAAGTTTAAAATTTCATTATATCAACATTTATCTGTGTTTTAAACAGTAAATGAAGGGAAACATACCATCAGAGATTTCCTGTGCTGTGAGGTTACGACGGTAGTTCTCCTCCACTTCCCTACATGGGAAGAACTCTGTCTGTCTGCAGGTAAGACCATCTTCCTCTGAAGCAGCTGCCTGGGCATGGACTGCAAACAGGTTCCATCTCACCTGTCAAATAGTTAACATTAACTTAACTTCAAACTTTATGCTGAAAATTCATCTAAATCTTATTCACATATGTTTCATTTGAATTCCATTCATTAGAAATGTATTTCTTTTGTTTATCAATTCCTTTTATCTCAGATACATGTTTTCATGTTGATATAGTTGTATATTATACCAACACATATCATACAGATGTATATCATACAGACATATAAAGTTTAGCCGTATATGGTATAGACACATATCATACAGATGTATATCATACAGACATATAAAGTTTAGCCGTATATGGCATAGACACATATCATACAGATGTATATTATATAGACATATAAAGTTTAGCAATATATGGCAAAGACATATATCATACAGATGTATATCAATATAGATATATATCAGACAGACATAAATTACATAGATATATATATCATACAGATTATACAGACATCTATTATATAGACTTATTTTATACAGACATATACACAACATGTATAATATATATAATATATACAATGTATATCATACAGATGTATATTATGAAATCTTCTGTTATCAATCAATATCTTGACCTTATTAATGACACATGTGACCTACCTGTTCCATGAGTTCAGCAGGTGGATCATAAAAGTAGTGTAACAGGTACTCAAACACTACTAACAGGCGAGTGAGAGGTAGAGGCACCATGGTCTCAAGCTTACTGTAAGTACAATATACAACAGTTCATATCTACCATCATTTCTCTTCAATGATATACAACTGACAGTTTATAAACTAAATTCCTGCTTTCCATAATTACTTCAACTTTCTTGGATTTCTTGTAAAATGATTACAATTTTAATTCCAACTTTATAAGATGTAGTTAATAGGTCTACATTTACACAGCTTAGTGATACAATGAGAGTGTACACACCCATCATCCATCTCATTTATGGCAATAAGATTCTGGGCCATCTGTAACAGGAGTGATTTTTTCTTCATCAATGGCAGGCTGTGAAACAGGAAGATTAGCACCTGCAGGTGTTCCACGTTAATGTCTGTAATCAAACAATCATAATTTAGCTGCAGTATATACATACTCTAAAGATAGATAACAAAAAATCCTATCCCTTGAACTGTGATTTTCCTGTCTTACCATCAAAAAGGAAAAACAATAATTAATTTTCATTCTGGTGATAAAAAAGTTTCAAACTATCAATATTTATTGTATAAAAATACAAAAAAAAAGTCATACAGAAGACCTACCATCACAAGAGTCAACCTGGGGATCTAGATCAATGATGTTACTTTTCAGCGTCGTGATAAAGTTCATCCAGATACTGATCACCGAAGCCTCACTTTGGCTTTTCATGAGCTTCGCCTCACGTTCGCGCTGCTGCTTGAGAAGGACAACTTCTGCGAGGATAGCCAAGGTACGGGAGTGAACGGTCATTGGCCAGGGTTCCACAGCATTAGGATTGACTCCTAACTGACTCAGCAGAATATCCTGCACAACAATGACATGATCATCATCTGCTGTGTGGTTTAACTTTATGTAACACTGTTATAACATATTTGTTGTGTAATACCACTTACAATTTCTGTTGTCTAAGAAAACTATGAATATTAAAATCACAAATAATGATCAATAATACTGTAATCATATTTCAATTAGCACAATCAATTAATTAGCACAATCAATTAATTAGCACAATCAATTAAATTAGCACAATCAATTAATTAGCACAATCAATTAATTAGCACAATCAATTAAATTAGCACAATCAATTAATTAGCACAATCAATTAAATTAGCACAATCAATTAATTAGCACAATCAATTAAATTAGCACAATCAATTAATTAGCACAATCAATTAAATTAGCACAATCAATTAATTAGCACAATCAATTAATTAGCACAATCGAATTTTAGTGTAACAGTAATAGCTATATAAAAACATGCAGAAACTACAATTCACACAATCAGGATTCAACACAATGCTTTCAGTGTGATAACCACTAAAATAAGATTACTACTAATATATGTACATTTATAGTAATTAAAGTCTTCCATAAAATCATATATTTCTCTAATTGAAGCCTGGATAAAAATTAAACCAATTCATAAAACAAAAGGTACACTTGAAAGAAAACACACTGATATACACTACACAATGAGTATCAGTATACATTCATTATATTTAAACTCCACCTAATGTTGAAAGACACTCCTTCAGGTTCTATACTTACCTCAAGTGTTTCAGTCAAACATCCTTTGGAGATGAGATTGTGGTTAAACTTGGCCAAAGCTATTGACAATCCATCAAACACCTTGTCTAAAACACAAAAATCATTTCAGTACATCAACTATTATTCTGGATACAGAAACTTCAGTCACAGACTACTCTCTGTTACCCACAATCCCATTCATTCCTCAGTACTATGAAAATGCAAAATAAAATTTCGATACCCTATGACACAGTATAAAACTATAACATATGATGATGCTAAATGTGAAATTTCATGAAAGACTAGGGACATCTCATCAAACTTTTCTATATACAACAAGTTCTAAAAGTAAGAGAGATTGACTAATGTCCCCAAAACTACCTATCCAATCGATGAAGAATTTAACAAGATATTAGATACTGACTGTTGCAACCAAACTGAGAGAAATATGGTCCTCTTAAATTCTCTCAATAAGATTAAAGATTTGTCTTTTTGTATCACAAAATATGAATGAAATGAACCTGCTAATTAATCAAAGTACATATACCAAAAATAATTATAATAGCTAACTATGATATTATTGTTATTTATCAAACTTGAAATACAGAGTGTGATATGGTTGTTATTCACTAAACTTGAAATACAGAGTGTGATATGGTTGTTATTCACTAAACTTGAAATATAGAGTGTTTAATCAGCAACTTTGCCTAACAATCAGAATAACAAGTCATGATTCACACAAATTGACTTACCAGATGCATATTTGATACATTCTTTGTCAAGTTCACGTATAAGTGTGGCCAGATTTCCCATGTGATCTTCATTCAGTGAAGATCTACAACACAAAGGTATTATACACTTCAAACTCATCACACCATTACAGAGATTGGCCACTAAACATTAAACTAAAACGTGGAATTGAACCAGATTTTAAAGAAATAGGACCCATTCCTAATCGAAAGTCAATCCTATCTTCACATTATCAAGTCTTCTTATGGTTCGTTCTGATCTCACATAGAAAAAAAAACTAGACCATTGTCGAGGAAGGGCCCCGCATAATACCTACCCCTTATGATTGAGTTTCTTAATATTAAGAAATATATGGACAGGTGTCAAGTATTGAAAGCAACTTTCATCAAAATCCAATGAAAATGGACAGATGGACAGATATATGGATCGACGGACAGACAGACGGACAGGGTGAACATTGAACTCGAATGAGGGGCTTATGTACCAAGTATCACGAAGCAAGTTTTAAAGAAATCCCAAATCATTCCTTCAGAAGATATTCTCTGTAAAACATTCAGCCAATCAGATTGCAGCAGCCTCATTAAATATGTGCGGAATTCGGCAAACATCGAACTTGAGCGAGGGACTTATGTACCAAGTATCATAAGCAAGTTTCATCGAAATCCCATCATTCCTTCTCAAGATATCGCGTGGAAAGCGAAACCGACAGACATGTAAAACATTCAGCCAATCAGATTGCAGCAGCCTCATTAAATATGCGCGGAATTTGGCGAACATCGAACTTGAGCAAGGGACTTATGTACCAAGTATCATAAGCATGTTTCATCGAAATCCCATCATTCCTTCTCAAGATATCGCGCGGAAAGCGAAACCGACAGACATGTAAAACATTCAGCCAATCAGATTGCAGCAGCCTCATTAAATATGCGCGGAATTTGGCGAACATCGAACTTGAGCGAGGGACTTATGTACCAAGTATCATAAGCAAGTTTCATCGAAATATCATCATTCCTTCTCAAGATATCGTGCGGAAAGCAAAACGGACAGACAGACGGAGACAGACGGACAGACAGACAGACGGACAGACGGACAAGGTGATTACTATAGGGCACCCGCATCGCGATGCGGGGCCCTAATTATTTCCTTGTGTGATATGAAATCGGACATGTCTGATGCTCATTAGTTTGCCTGGTGGTAACATTGTTGACCTTGTTCTCATTATTTTTACAATTTTATCTAGATGCGACGTTTCAAATTCATCATTGACATATTAGATGCTAAGGTTTTTTACCGTAATATCTTCTGCAGTTCACGGTCTGTGGCATTAAGGAAGGATTGACTAAGGAAGGTCAGGATGTCTGCTGCCAGTTGAACAAACTAAAGAAATGAAGTTTACACTTAAAGAAAGATACTTTATATCATGATCATCCTCAAAGAAAACTTCATTTTCCAAACATTTTTTAAAGCATACATTAAAACTATATTTGTTACAACTCATTTATTGTAAATACCAGTATATATGCAATTGATGTTTATATACATTCTCTTTTCAAGCAATAATTATATAGTCATCAAAATCTGTACAAAACAACCCTTTAAATAGTTTGACTTATATCATAAATATATATTGTGATCAATTTGTAATTATAGGTCACTACAATAATTGGTGTTAGACTGTAAAGAGATTTCTGTCGCAGACAGCTTACCCCTTCTGGCTCCCGTTTGTCTGGGACAAAGTTGGGACTGTCCCCACTACTAATCTTGCGTGAGCGCTTGCCCTCGCTAGGAACATCAACACGTGCTGGAACCGGGGGTGGGGCGGATGGCTCCACGGTATCTGTGGGTAGGGCTGGCTCCTCAAACAGGCCCCCAAGAATTGGCTCTGAATCCTCATCTAGACATAAACGCCATTCAGAATTGTATGTTACAAATCTTGATTTTCAAAGATACAATGCTTTTTAAAAATAAGGTCATACCACTACCAACTTTATATAAACATAATTATATATAAATGACATACAAAAGATATATGGTAGCTTCCTATCAGTATCACTGCTTACCATCATCATCACTGCTTTCCTCAGAACAGCTGAAGTCATCCTCATAGAATGTGTTGGAGTCAGATGCACTGCTACTGCTTGTTTCAGAGGACTCTGTCCCCTGCTTCAGTCTTCGTAGTAAAGATGCCTGTTAAAGATTGAAAGAGAAGTGAAGACTTCATGAACAGATTAAAGAGATTTGTGAAGTCTAAAATACTGTTTGAATATCTATTAGCCTAATAATGACTTAAAAAATATATTTTAAAACTTTCAGAAATATGGAAATATTTCTATGGGATCATCTATACTAACACCTGGTCCCATTTTCACGAAGAAATGACTGCAGTAACACACACCTTTCTGAAGGAGTTTTCCACCAGGTTGAACAAGAGGTCTGTCAGATTGATGGCATTCAGCAACTTCTTGACACGTTTCCAGGCAGTTTGGTATGTCATTATGGTAAAGTCAAGACCAGGTTTGGATGGTGCAGTTGTTCCCTGCATAAAACAAGCATATTCTTGATCACTTTTGCATTCACATTATATCACAACATCCTTAAGTTACATATATCATATAACAGGTCCTTATTTCATTTAATCCCCCCTAACTCTTTCCCTTACACACCAGAAGTCTCTCCACTCACCAGATCAGGCACCATGCCTTCAACTTGTAAATCAGCCAGTAGTTCCTGCACCAGTTGTACAGCCTTGGTTGCCAAGGCAACAGATAAAGCTCCAAAGCCATGGAATGAACTTTTCCAGGTGCTGCTACGACTGAAGGATTGGGATTGTGCTTCCCTTGGCTTGGTAGAGCTATCAGATGACAGGGCAGACCCTTTGGGTTTACAGGGTTCCTTCCTCTCCAGTACAGTAGAGGGTGTGAGAGCAATAATATTTTGTAAACCTCTCATTAACAACCATGCTGCCATCAGGTTAAGGTTCTGGGCCGTCTGCAAAGTTACAATTCAGCATAAAGTTTGTATCTTTTCTTTTCATAGAGACAGAAATTTATCACAGAATTTTTGAAAGAACGGTTCATTTGTTTTTTTCTTTATTATCATCTGTCCATCATCATTGTCCTGTATTCTCAAAATATAATCTCCTTATTTTTGTCCATGGTTAACACTATATTCATACTGAAATAAATTATAGCTTCCAAGAAGTTATAGAAACATTTAAAGCAAACTTCCACTCATCAAGCTTATTCAACAAGACTGGGTAAATGATCTTTGTGTCAGGTGTACTGGTTCCAATGCTGTACTTACATTGCCTCCTGCTCTTGTGGAATTCCTCATAACAGTTGATACAGTGTTGAATACTTCCAACTAGAGATACAACACAAACAATAAATATGAATAAAAAATAAATTTATCCTTAAAATAAAGTTTTGTACAAACGACTGAAATACTGTTAAGAAGATATTCAATTACACCGGAAACTATAGGAAATATATTAATTTTCTTAATTAGTCCTTAAAAAGTTACATTTCCCTTTATTACAGAGGTTCATCATTTGTTGACTAGACAAAACTTACACTTCTTTGGATAACAGTAGTTCCATAGTTGTCAATCTCTTCATCTTTAGTTGATGTTGACTTGGCCGGGGTAGTGCTGGTTAATGCCACAACATTGTTTGCCATGGCAACAGAAAGAGAGGCATACAGGCAGCTCATGGTGATGTTGACAATTTTCTCCATCCTCTTTGGAGAGAGTGGTTCCAGGATAGGAAGACTGAAGGCGCGCCACACAATGGAGATATCACTCAGCAAACACTGGTAGCTACAAGGAGATAGAAAAAAGATTATCGGGGATACCACAAGCCTAAAGAGGAAGGAATATTACCAAGCCTCAAGAAGAAGGAAAAAGTATGCTTGCAAAAATGTCAGCAAAATCAAAACAGATACAAATTCTAAATGTCAAACTTGTTACTCTTGTTTGATGAGGGTTACTTGAAATTGAAACATCAACAACTATCCCCTTTAGAATAAACCCTGTTTTGGAAGGGATCTGCAGTGTTGTTGTCACTCCTGGACAACTATTTTACTTTTTTAGTGATTTAGCGAGGATTCTATATCCATGGCAAATCCCACACGAACTCCTAAATGCTTCAATATTTTGAGGGACATTGTGCCTCAACTCCACTGTGTGTTAAATTTTACTGTCTATGGGTAAACAGTTGAATTTTCACCCATGTCATCCTTATCAATAAGTCATAGATGAACAGGATATATTTATATATTTTGAGCAAATTTTACAATATGTGAAAATGAAGTACAAAGTATGGGTGGAAATAACACTGTACATATGTTTCCTTATACTTGTCTACACATTCCTAGAGATTATGCTTCAGCTATTTTACACAACAGCCTACCTCGTCCTTGATGTAAGGGCTTCCACCAGGGTGTTAGGCATGATGAAAGAGGAGCCTGCCACTGCCTCTTTGTAGCGCTGGGAATACCTTCCAAGGAATGTCAGATTTGAACAAACATTCACTAAAATATCAGCTCCATCCATTTGCAGGAGATGCGACAGGTTTCTCTTTCCAAAAGCATGTTTCAAGTCATCCGACTCACGACTGTGTCGACTGTGGGATGTGTCATCATCGTTGACTACAGGATCAACAACAGGTTCAGTTTTCTGAGGACTTGAGATGCTCACCTCCTCAAATACTGAGGTCAACTGGTCAAATATGTCACTTCCTGTATCTATTCTCGATCGAGCAATTTCTTTGGGCTGAATTTCCTCACAATCTAAAATCAGCCAAACAAAAATAATTCAATATTGTTTAATCAAATGGTCTGTATGTGTGAAGGAATGGCCTCCAATGATTTTGATAATTTTTCCTATACAAAACAAAGATCCTATGTTTTTCAGGGTTTATACGCCTTATAGAGAAAAGGTCAAATTTTGTTTTAATGTGCCATACATGTTTGTGTTTATGTGCCCATCATAAAGCCGAAAATTAGACCTTCTGACTTTAAAGTGTAGTCAACAAGAACTTATACTACACCAATAAAGTTAGAAGCCAAATCAATATTTTTGTTTTAATTTCAATCACAATTCCAGGACATCATAAAATAATGAGTCAAAAAAACTGAAGATGCAAATTTTCTTCGTGGGTTCAGATTGACATTTGCTATTAAATCCTTGTCTGGCAAACTTTTCAATACAGTGAAAGAATTGATGCAGTTTATTTTTTTCAGGTTAGGTTTAAACTCTAATGCAGAAGAGGTTTAATCAGCATGGCTTATCTGCATTTAAAAATCACACAGAGACCTTCACATTCTCTATATTCACCAGTTTAAAAGTTTGTCTGTATATAACTGGTTAAAATGCAGAGCTTGAACATTTTATTATGGGGAGGGGCCTTGGCTTTGGTGTTGGACAGTCGTATAGATTATATCACTTACCTGTGTCTGACTCGCGTACATGGCGAGGGGCCTTGGCTTTGGTGTTGGACAGTCGTATAGATTATATTACTTACCTGTGTCTGACTCGCGTACATGGGGAGGGGCCTGGGCTTGGCGGAGGACAGCCACATAGGATGTTACATCAGCCTTATTTAGACCACTGCTTCCTGTACACAGGGCTTTTATCAACATCATCAGGTGTTTCTGTCAAAAAGAACATGAATCCATAATTCTTATATCAGGTTCTTATATTCAAAGATGATTAAACTATTTGAGAATAAAGTATTTAATTTGTAAATCATTATACAGGATTAAATTTGACCAATTCGATACAATAGGAAGTTTAATTTTGATTTGAGGACTAGAAATCTGCATGACTTGAAGAAAAGTGAGCATATCTAAAACATGTTACAATTTCTATCCGTCTTTCACCTAGTAAATACTTTGAAAAATTTTTTTAGTTCAAAACTAGGAATGAATAAATGACCTGTTTCCTTTGCTTTGAAACAGTGTAGTCACACACAAAGACACTAAGTAAAGTTAATATATCTGGCTTGTATTACCTGTGTTATGCAGCATTCTTCATGATAGGTCTGTAATTTAGTCAGGAGGAACTTCAGTAGTACACGACATGCGTTGGACACAGTTCCAAGTTGTGTTGATGGCACTACAAACACATATTCATTTTTAACAAATATTTCCATCGCAGATTTTCTTTAATAAAAACTCTTTGTATACATGCTGAATATTAAATAATTGACACATATATATCTGGTGAAAATGTCAATAAATTATGTGACACAAAATATGCACATTGATATTAAAGTGATCAAACCAGTGTTTTTCTTTCCTGTCTGTATATATAGTTTTGTATTAAGGCCTCATTCCTGATTTTGTATAATGATTATTTTTCCAAATTAATTCCTAGATATTCCAAAAATCTTTACAGCTTATATTTCATTGGTGACAAAGGAAAGTCCAGAATAGTTATTCCTATTTTTCCCTTTCATTGCAAAAAAGAATTTCCAACTTCTATCACTTAACAGATAGCAGCAAAATGAACAGGAAAATTAAAGCTGAATAAAAGCTTTATTGTAATAATGCAAAAGATATACATTAAAACATCATTTAAATTATCACAACTACTTAATCAAACATACATTAAATGTTTTGTCAAATGTGAATACCATACCTGATCTAGCACTTGCACTCATATAGTGTGAAGCCAGAGCCACAAATGCAGAGTAGAACTTTTCATGCTGAGCTTCATGTTCGAGTATGTCTGCTTCACTGTGAAATATAACATACATATACATATAGCAAAGGAAATTAAGTAAAGTTTTTGACACTTCAATTTTCCTAATGTTTAAAAATATGCTTTTTCATATTTCGACTAATACATATTTGTATATGTACAACTCAATTATGCAATCCAGAAAAACAACACATATAAAAATGACATTTTCTGAGTCAATCCTCCAAAATAGGAGCATGTTACATTAAGAATTTTTATCCTGAATCTGACACTGTAACTGTCAGGATACACCTATAACATATACCTTTGTTTGCTGTATTTAACAGTAACATCTTTATTCTAATATGTGCATTAATCTAAATAGTTAGAATGACTTAGTGAATAACAAAAAAAAACAAGAAATTTTGGAAAAAGTTTTTTGCAAGTTTATCTTGAAAAAAAAGACACAAAAATAAAACTGTTGTGGTATAAGATTGAAGCAATATTTGTGAATGGGGCATTTACTTGTCAAAATTGTACATTAACCATGTGGCCTAATTTAGTACTCTTAAGTCAACATATTGCACTTAACACTGTTAAACATGAAGCCTGTATATAAGGCCTATAGTATCGCTCACCTGGCCTTGTTTGCCTGAAATTACTTCATCTAAATTAAGGAAAAAGAATTCTAAAGGTTGATATTTAAGAATTAGAAGGATTTTAAAGTATCTATTCTATTTCACCAGTTAGGCCTGGTCCCTCCTGCCCCTGGGGAATGAGATCCACCATTTATATAAAATTGATTCCTCTTCACCCCATGATGTTTCAGACCAAAGTGGCACAGAAACCACACATTGTTACAGAAGAAGCAGGATTGTGAAGAATTTGCTTGATTTCTGGTAGCTCCATCCCAGGGAGCTAAGACCCACTGTTTCAGATGAAATTTGAACAAAATTCAATCATTCATAAAGAAAAAAATGCTAAATATCCCATTTTAGGCCCCACCCCCAGGCCCCAAAGGAGTCAGCCCTTCTGAAACTCCTTTCGTGGCTCTTTCCAATCAGGCCAGCATCCCTTGAAACACGGCCTTTCACTCACCCATGGGTTATCGTCTGCAGCGCATTTTTGGACCAGGAAATTTACTTATTCATAGCTGGCTCGCGGCTAACTTTTACCTAAATCTATTTCTATTGTCCCAATATTTAAGATACAGACCATGTATTCTCTTTGTTAATGTAAGACCTATTTAACACATAATTCACCCGTCGATCCAGTAACAGTCAAAGGAATCTGAATGCAACCCAATGTTACTCTATATCATAATCATACTTATTATTTTTAAAGCACAAATTGAAAAAATATATATACATGCAGAGAACCGAAAAAACGATAGTAAAACTGTTAGGTATATTATACCAAGAAAGAGTGACGTAAATCTAAAAATACATCTGACAAAATCGAACATCCTGATTCTCGTGATAAGAAGCAACAAACAGGATCATAAGCGTAACTAAGACCCCTACATATCAAGTAGAACGCAATACTTGGAATGAAGTAACATATTCAAACCTCTTAGTTAAAGCTTTTGCAAATCCAGGTAGATCATCTTTGTTGAATGACGAGTATGACGCGGTCAGGAGCGGTTTTATGCTCACTGACCACTTCATCCCTGGACTCGTCGCCATTTTTTAGTTTGACTTCCGGTCTGTATACAAATTAGACCCCTAAAAGATTAGTTCCAAAATAAAGTACGCAGGATGAACTTAAACATTTAAAAACGCGTATCTTCTCAAACTGATAATGTGTATAACATTTTTTTTGAAAAAATAAAACAGTTAAATTGCAATGAAAATGCATTGGGATAAAAATATTGATGAGATGAAATGTCGGTGCGTACTGAAATTATACATACCAATAATGCCTCCGCGAGAGATTATCAGAGGGGAGCGTTCACAGGGATCATGCACGGAATCCCGATCATAATCATTGTATGGTATTTTCTTTCTGTTTTGTTTGTTTGTGTTTTTTTTTCATTTCATGTATGTAAGGGTAGATGTTTTTTTTACCCCTTTTCGATCGACATTTTCTCTTTTCTATATTCTTTTATCTTGCAACTGGCACCGCCGTTGTCGGATAACACCTGCCTCATATATATATATTTGCTTTTTGGCAGTAATGAAAAACAGTTAAATTTTAGCACGTGACTGAAATACTCTCTGAATTTACTTAAATATTACGTTTAGAAATATAAACAATTGTTGAAATAGGCTATTTTACATGTTGTAATGAACAATTTGATTTATGAAAAGTCATGACGTTAAATTTCAAATCCAAACACGGCCGCTTTTCGGCTATTCGTTTTTGTGATCAGAACAAAATAGATAAACCATAGCCATGCTAGGAACCAAATGAAACTTACAAATAAAACTTTATCCGTCAAGTAGGTACTTCTCACGAAAAAGTGATTTAGTTAACATCTATTTCAAAGTTCGTTTTCTTTTTTCTAACCATTCTCGAAATTAGAGGGCGCTTATGGGGACTCGGAGAAACCTTTATGCGAAATTCGGAAAAAATCTATTTGTCCAGTATTTCCCAATAAAGAGCGATAACGACCTTTCATGGAAATCGAAAAAATCAAAATAACCACGTCAGCCATTTATTTTCTGATCAGATTGGAAATTAAAAGGCCACAACTCGAGACAAAGGAGAACATGCATTTAAAGCAGGGTCAATGCAATATTTCTCTTGAGATAGAGGTTAATGGCTACAGGCTCGCGGCGATTTGATCGACTCACAAGTTTGATGGATGTTGGTTAGAATAATACCGATATGTTAACAAAGCCGTGATGAGGATTCCGCCAGGCGGACAATATCTATTACATCTTATACAATTTTGGTTTTTTATTTCGCACGACTTGATAATTCATGGAGAGAAGATAGTCAATCAAGACCGCGGCTGACGTTGGATGTCTGCTCAGAATGCTCAAGGTTATTACCCATCTAAATAGCATCTTACTCCACACTCTTCAACCCAGCGCCTTAGATACCATATCTTTGAGCGCACTCTCGCGCAACTTCATGGACAAATGTGATTGGCTGAAATCACGCAATGTCACAGAACATTTGAATATGGTGGTGTAACATGACTTTTTATTACTATTGCAGAGAACCAATAATAGACTAACACGCGATCGGAAACAGACCAATCAGCATCTGATGCAAAACAGAAAATGACTTAAAATATCGTATCGTAACCAGTTGATAATTTCCAACCAAAATGAGATTATGGTGATGAACATAAGAAATCAACTTGTATCTTTGGAAACCATGTGTTCTGAATTTTATATTTTAGCTATCGACATTTTTCTAGTTTGTTTATTTCGGAAAGAGGAGGGACTGGAAAGATGGTGGATGAACACAGGAAGCATTTAAAGATAATTATATCTAGTTGGCAAAATAGTAATTTCAGATATGGCTAAAATCAGAACAGCAAGCACCTGCGTTCGAGTAAGCTCCTAAACCGAAGTTTGCTCTCTAAATAAGCACATATATCAAGGAAGCTTTATGAACATTGATGGACTATATGGAACTCGAGTTATCGCGAAAAGAAAATAATTTATGTGTATAGCGAACAGTTATATCAAGCTACAAGATATTTGAAAAGAAAAGAAACATTGCTTTTGGTAGAGCACGTGACCTATAATTTTCCTGGTATTCACCCGTATAAGCCAAAGAAGCGTAGGATCAAGTTTAATTAGTGTGGACAGAGACGTATATATGTGTTATATATGTCTCTGGTGTGGACAACCGCCTCTGCAGTCAACGTTCTGGTCGTCAAATATATTGTAACGAAGCGACTTTTGATTGAAGCACAAAACATTGTAACTTAAAACTTGTTGAGTATTTAATATTGTCTCTGCTTATATCGCTTGCAAAAGTTAGAGGAATAATTTCCATTATTAATTATGATTATTATTGATGTTTTGGAAGTAAATTAAGGTTTCTAAGATTAGCGGTTATTTTGATGAGTTCAACGAACACTCAGCTTCAGCCGCCATCTTGAAGAGAGCAACAATGTTAACATCACACTTCTAGGTATGTAATCTTATTTCTTTTTAAGGCATGATTTCTATTGAAAGGAACGATTTTACAGGAAATATGTGTTTTATGTATTTACAGTATGGACCGCAATTTTCCATGCATAGGTTGTAAGAAGGGATATAAGACGATGAAGGCCCATGAGGTAACGCAAACTAGACAAGCACGAGGGGCAAAAGAACTGCTCTGTAATTGGGTACAGTTACAGGTATCCTTCATCAGGGTCCCATCATCTGAAAGGTCACATGATGTCGCACCATGTGGACCAGACCATGAAAAATGTCCTTGTCGTTCGGCGACTGGATGGTGCCACACAACCTTATGGTTTTGAGGAGATGGTGGAAGGGGATGACCTCAAGACCCCCACCTTACATCGGGTTGGAATCCCTCGTAATCACCCACTGTACATGCCTTGTGTTCTATGATGGTGATTGTTTTGCATTGTGTCATGATATACTACAATGATGAGTAGAGAAATGAATAATTCCAGCCTGTTGTCGGTATGACAGCTACTCCTAGGAAGATGGGCTGGTTGTGATCCAAGTGGACACGTGCTAGCACATCTGAAAAATCCAGATCGTTATTCTGAAGTACTGCTTATACCGGAGTGACTACACAGTTAAGCGCAATGAGGATTCAAGCATTACCATATGGACCACATGACCTTCATCGTGAACATGATTGGCCGGGTGACGAGTCTACTTCCTGGTATATCCAGCGTGAAGTATGAAGAGACATAGATTGCACGAAGAAAGAAATTGCTTATTATTTATGAATGATTCAAGTCTCATAAGTTTAAAAAAATCATATAAAAGGGCGGGGGATATAAGAAACCAAATTATACACTATTTATACCATTCACAGAAGTCAGGAAGTATAAAATTGACCTATGACTGACTGAGGCCATAGAAGACATCATCGGTTGTTGGAGAGTAGTCTCTGATTACACTTACTAATAAGACGACTCTTGACGAATAGCTGTGTGAACGCAGCACTCGTCGTCAGAGTATGTATAATGTTCTACAAAGAGATGACAAGATCCTCCATTCATTGGCCGGAGACGGATCCCTTTGTTAAGTGGATATGGATTCGGAGTACAACCAAATTAACTTATTTGATCATTTTACAGGACAGGCACCAGTGATGGACAATCGTCTTCATCCGTGTTGTGAACGCTTTGAACAATGTGTCTTTCAGAGATGGCAGAAACAAGAAATAAAGAGGTTTGTTTCCACACAGAAATGCAATCTATACACAAGCAAAGCAATGTTTATGGAGCATATCAAATTGGCAACACCCACAGACATGCGAGGCTGTTTCTTACTATCAAGAAGCCTAAAACGATTGTATAAAGACGTTTAAGAAAGTATCATATTTCTACAACTTTATAATTTGATCAATCTGCACAAGGAACCGGAATGGTCAGTTGCTAAAGAATTTGTAGAGGACAGCAAGCTGCATTGACGAATCATCTTCTTGGCTTTCTGTTTTCGAGCATAATATCACAGTTAACGTATAGTGCAGTGATTAGCAAGAAGAAATTAGGGACTGAAGTTACGAAGAAATGAAGAAATTGATACCAATAGAGATGAAACTTCCGAGTACAACCGAATTGTAAAACCAATTGTTCGATCGTCCGACGATGGGGCCGCGTAGTACAACTAACAGTGATGAGTTCAGCTTTTTCATTACAGGGACAAGAAGAGTATTTCATTTGTGTGTTTTTTTGGGGTTTTTTTTGTACAATCAGTTTCATTCCAATTGAATAAGTCTTCTCATTTCTCGAGCTCAAACACGTGCTGAGAATATTTTGATGTTATCCCGAGGTACTTTAGTCTATAAAGATGAAACGTTGGTTAAGGAACCCTGGTGAATGCTGGTACTTTGAATCTTCTCTTGTCGGTGCCATGCAGAGTGAAAGATACCACAGAAAGAAGATATCCTAATTTTCGAAAATCTTTCAGCTTGGAGGGACAATTAAGATAATTTGTAATTGAAAGACGTGCTTTTCAGCATTACTCTGTTGGACGGAGAGGATGGACCATTATTGTATTATTGCCTAGGTTACACTTGAGTTAGGAGGTGATAGATTATTATCATTTCTATAGTGTGTATGTCGGTAAAGTAAGGTCTATAAGAAATGTATCACATCAGCACATCTGCCTCTTTGATCTATTAGCAGTTGCTTACAAATTTCATCGTATATCCACTTGGGAACAACTGCGTCAACATGAAAATAAGGAAGATTTTATTATATCTAAATAATTTTCGCTATGACGACACTTACATATTATAACTATGAAAAACGAAGACATCGCGTAAATGTACTTGAATGGTAGCACATCAGAGCCCGTATTCATGAAAGTCGTTCTTATGCTCAAACATTAATTTTGTGCTCAAGACTTATGTATTGTTTAAGTTAAAAATTGATAAATAAGGCTGATTTAAAAAAAAAGGAATTGAAAGGACTTCAAGTCAAAGTCATAATCAATGTTTACATTTCATATTTGTATTATTTTATATGATTAAGGCGAGTTATAAAAAGTTTGCTTGAGCACATAATCTATGCTTGAGCATGAGAATGGTT